ATTCCTTGTGTCATTTGGACGGGTCCCCATGTCCCATGCGGTTACGAGCCCCAAATCACGCTCTGAAGAGATAGTTGACAGTTGATTTCCGTAAAGAGTGTAAGTGCTTTATGTCATGTGAGGCAGAATGTCTATGACATGACATTTCGTCAGGTTAGATTTTAACCCATTGTCTACTACCCGTTTTCGGTTTTTGCCATCTTGTGTTTTGTTAATAAAGGTCAACGACTGGGGTAGATCTAAGATTTTTCTTGTGAAACGCCTGATTTTGAGACCTTTTAACTCGTGTGCACTCTATTTTCCTTGGTATGAAACATCCCGTTCTCTACATAGTTTCATAGCAAGGATGCAAGTGGGTCAATGAAAACTAATGTTTGCAAGCTTTTCAACAAGTGAGGTATAACCCGTAGAGAATGTTTCCATAAGTAGTTTGCCACAGCTGTCAAAAGTCTAAGACTGACTGAACATATGGGTGATACCACGAGATGATACAGGGACGGAAAACCCTTAAAATTGAGCTAGTTACTGACAAATGATTAGCTTCTAGTTGAGGATGTGAATGTCCGCGCATCAGTAGTTAGTTTAAACCTCTTTCCCTTCAAGTTAGTCGTTATAACATGCGGGATTCTAGGGAGGAGGACAAGGACGTATAAAAGTCGATATTAGTACACCTATCTAAGTTCCTAGAATAATGTCTATTTCGCAATCGTAGATTTTTCATGGTGTGGAAACCTGATCTATAAGAACTTAAGTGGAACTCACACCATTAATTACTGATTCGTCCCGTCATACAGTCAGAAATATGGTGTTTAGCATTCCTAAAAAACCACAATTGGGCTGTGGGTAGAATAAAATGTTTAACATGAGAAGGAACGAGTCGTACAGATTGACCATACATGAATTCCCGAGCCATGTCATACGAGTTGCTCTTCTCTCAATACTGTCAGAAGTAATGAAAGGACTGGTCAACGAATAAATACAGGAATGCATGGATGAAGATAATATCCCCCATGAGGCCCAATACGGGTTCAGGAATGTCAGAGCATTCGTATCTAACCTCCTCATGGTATGGGAAAGCTTGACGACCTGTTGTGACCATAAGATAATAGTTCATGTAGTGTCCCTTGGTTCTGAAAAAGTCTGACACAGCACATCGTGTTCTTTACTTAGAAAAGGTTGCAAACATTAGTTTTCATTGACCCACTTGCATCCTTGCTATGAAACTATGTAGAGAACGGGATGTTTCATACCAAGGAAAATAGAGTGCACACGAGTTAAAAGGTCTCAAAATCAGGCGTTTCACAAGAAAAATCTTAGATCTACCCCAGTCGTTGACCTTTATTAACAAAACACAAGATGGCAAAAACCGAAAACGGGTAGTAGACAATGGGTTAAAATCTAACCTGACGAAATGTCATGTCATAGACATTCTGCCTCACATGACATAAAGCACTTACACTCTTTACGGAAATCAACTGTCAACTATCTCTTCAGAGCGTGATTTGGGGCTCGTAACCGCAAGGGACATGGGGACCCGTCCAAATGACACAAGGAATGCAACCAAGGCAAACTCACACTCCACTTTATGTGAAAATGACTTGAAACAATCCCTCCAAAGCTTTTCTTAATATTGTTTAGGGAGTACACACAGCCCAACCTTAAGGTCCACAAAGTCATGGCTTCTTCGCTCTTTAAAAAAAATAAATCTCTTGGCTCAAGTACACGAGTGGGCATCTAAGCGGATGATAGTTATAAAACAAATATTACGAGGAGAGACTCTAGCATGTACAACTATTTTCGCCGGGCTTCAAGAGAATAACGGCACGCAACACACTAAGTACGCCGAGTCACGCTAACGCAAGTATATTACTAGAACGCTCCTTAGGGCAAACCCCGAAAGACTACATATCATTAGGCGAATACCCAGGTACACTCTCAATGTCTCTCACTAAGAGTTGCCCCTATTTGGAATGCTCTCACAGAGAAGTTGCCAAAGACCCTCAGTGAATAGCTTTAAAAAGAAGCTGAGCAAACACATACTCGCCGGTGGATTGCAATCCCCTCCTTAGACTGGCTATGTCTAGGGCGTGTCTCGTGAATTAATACGGTTATAAATACTATTTAAATAGTAACTACTTCCCATCTCACTCATTACCATCTTCGTTTCTCTGTTGTCAATCAAGTGAATCATTTATTTATTCTCAAATTAATTATTTTCTCTTAGCACTCGAACTATCACTTTGTTACTTTTATATTGAAACCAAGCAACCTCCTGCCTGGTAGTGTGATAGCGGTTGGTATCCCACAAACCTACTCCCTTGAGATAAACACATTCACTCAACTACAAGATATACAAATCCACGATCAAATACCACACTGACTAAAATTACTGCAGTCGGTTGGCTAGTTTAATGCTCATTGGACGTAACAAAAAACGTGTCCAAACGAGAAAAAGCGAGAGCAAAGAAGTCAGTCAGATACTGGATATCTAAGCAACAGGCTTATTAGAGTCATGAAAAACTAGATTTTTTCGCGCTACTGGATGTTCTTGTGGGATCCTTCAGAGTTCAGTGCAAGGATACCTTCCGTTTTTCATTCATTTTAATGATATCTAGCGAGTACCGTTAGAGTTGCTACCCTTCGCCGGAGATCTCAAACTTTTAGAGTAAAGTGGGCAATCAGGATGACAAACTAGAAACTCAGGGGAATCAGACTTAACTTTGATGTTTGGCAGAAAACGATGGACTTGTAGTGGTATTGGGCCCTAACCATACAATACTTAAAGCTGAACACCAGACAACTGGAAAAATACATATCCAACATTTGACGCGGAGAAAAACCCAACGATATAGAAGTCGGGAAGAATGAATTGAACTAGTTCGAATCCATCGGATGGCATGGCTCGGCCTTACAGGCGTGGTCATTATTGAGTGCTAAAATGTACCTTTTATTCATATTAAATATGTTGTTCTATCTCTAGCCTATGTGTGTTCTTCATCATATATTGATGATTGTTACGACGCGATGAGTTGGTGTAGATATTAATATGACTTCCGTATAAGATCATATATATTAGGCAGTTATATGATGATAAATCTACAATTTTAGGACTAAGTCTATTATTAGAGCGGTACTGATATCATAGTAGACCATAATTCTACAGACACACTTTCGGCACTTTAAAACGTAAAGTAGGCCACCTAGGGTATGTTGCAAATTGCAAATAAAACATAAGTAGTTTCCTTAAAAAAGTTCTTAGGTTGGCGCTATCGAAATCCTGAAGCTAATTTCGAGCCCAGATGCTGACAACGTCCAGGACATTCTGTTGGAAAAAATGGTTCCGACATGTCAACTTTTACTCAAGTCACAGCCTCTCATGGTGAGAGCCCCACAAACTATTTTTCAATAGGTTTTCCATTATATCCTGTTAGAATTCGTTTCGGACGACAAAAAAGAAGAATCGAAGTCCTATTGTTTGCATCTACATGTCACGTTCACAGTTTCAAAAAATATTTTCAGTGAACGTATATCTGTTCTTTGTAAAACATGTGTTTCTCAGGTACTTTAGAGGCTTCTGTGGGATTCACGTCTAGTATTGTAGTGAGTGTATTTATGTACGGTACTACAATAATAAAACTAGTCCAATACTGTGGACTTATTATGATCTTACTGTCTAACTCATAAGATTCTACATCGAATCTAAATTGTCTTGTGATTTAGCTCGTCGGATCACGACAGTTGGCGGTGTTGTTTATAAAAACCTTTGAAAAAGCTATTCACACTTGATATAAAGTAACAGTTAATATGTGTATTAACGCGCCATAAGAGGGTGATTACTCTATGTGCTCTCTTTATCTTACACTGATTAAAAACAGAAGAGGTCCCAGTATCAAGCCCTGAAGAGTCCATCAAGACGTCCTGCAGCACGGTAAAGTGTTAGGTTTTCTATTATCCTAAAACGTCTATAAACAACTCGAAACAGCCTGTTGATGAAGATCTGGCACATATTGGATCGAGTTTATTGATAAGATGTGTTTTATCGACCCTGTCAAATACTTAAGAAATCGAGGTAAATTATGTCCACCTTCTCTTTGCTAATGAGGATGATAGTCTTTGAGATGGTGGAGAAGATTTGTAGCTCAGGTGGATGATTTTGGCGGAGTTTTGTTCTCTGAGCTGGAGAGAACCGGTCAGCACTTCGAAGGCCCGTTGGGTTGGGAACCTTTAAAAGTTGGTGTGATGTATGCAAACTTCCAATTTTCTGAGACTGCACCTTTATCTAGCTATTGCGAGTGTGTTGCCAAGATTAAGGCTGCTCCTCACTATAAAAGGAGTGGATGATGTCGACGTATTCACGTTTGCGAACTGAAGACTTTGGTACACCAGCCATGCGCTCAGATTCACTTTCAAGACTTCTGTTGAGTTTTAGGTAGGGCTCTCGTCAGTGTAGGCTGGATGAGACGACCGCAACGTCTATGACTACTGTTTTATCAATAGCTCAGGAGTATCAATAACGTTGTTGCTTCGGAAACTCCAGCTCTGTCTAGTCGAATAGAGGCTGAATGACGGAATAAGCTATACAGACTGGAGGTAAATTCTTCGATTAGACTAATCTGATACAGCCACCTCGCTTTATGAGAACAGATACGTTATTCATTTATTTAGTGTTTTCCGAAGAACCATATAAATCATAGGACACCAACGAGCGATAAGCAAAGGTGTAATTATAACACCCTCTCGTAGAAGATTCAGTGTTTAAGTATCCATTTCTGATAAATCTTTAAGAAGAGTGAATACTCTAGAGTCCATTGTCTCAGGTAATGTTTTGAATCTGTAGTCGCTACGAGAAGTAAAAGCTCTAAAGATTGAGAAAAACTGTACAATTGTGTTCTGCTCTCAAGGTCAATGACCTGGAACGATAGCCTCTATTGAGTCAGATATTTTGCATAAGGTCAAAGCGCGTGTGTTGATCTTCGCGTTATGTTTCCAATACTTGTAACATGACGACAATGGAGTCCAGTAAGTTTTACGGTTTTGGTTTTAGTTTCAGTCAACGAAGTATCTTTTGTATACTTTGGATCGCAATACATAACTTCAAATGATTGATTTTATAGTTTTTGACTATATTTGGGAAAACTTGTCATATCTTCCTTATAATGTAGTTTTGTCCACTCTACTCTCAAGTTTTTATGGTTCTCTTTGTCCGTTTTGTTAATGGACCATTTAACAAGTGCACCAGATTTCAAAAGAAGTTCTTAGTTTTTTTGGATGATTTTTTATTGTAGTAATAATTATTTATTTTGTATTTGTAAATATCAAAAGAGATTTAGAAGAGCCTTTGATTGATAACGGTTTGGACGCCACGTCAATCGTAGACCTGTTTACGGCTCTGGAAAATCTTGTTCTTCAAATCGTCCTCAGGAAGAAGCTATTGGAATTTGACTCGTCTTTCTTTTTCTCTGTTTTGTCATTTTTTCATTGAGAGTTTTGGCTTTTTTCACTCTTTTCTTAATATGGATGTTTTCGTACCTGTCGTGTTGAGAACTCGTGCGTCTTGAAACTTATGTACAGAAAATCTAGTCGGTTTTAATTTATTCAGTCTATGGTTTATCCGTTTTTGGAATTCGGTTTAAAAATATTTGCGTTTGTTCAACACTCATGACTTATTGCTTGAATGTCATAATCAGTTCACATTTACTTGTCATTCGGACCAAACTTCGGAGTAGTGTTGTGAGATATCCAAGAGTTATTTATGGTCATGTCAATTTTGGAGTCTTAATATCTACCGTATTCTTTGTTTGTTACGTCATTAGACACAATACTTGTTCATCTCTAATCTATAGTGTTTTGATACGCATATCTTGATTGTCTGGTTACTAGATGTAGTTAAGTTATTGATCAGGTCATATTGCTTCAGAACTTGCTAGTATATAGTTGCCAGTAAATAAGTATGTCTTCTGATTTCTTCTTAATAACATGTTGATTTTTTGTATTAAGGAATTCCTCGTCGGCGTGCGAATTCTGCAGAACCCAGGACAAATTATTTCGTGCGAAAACTTTCCAAATTGGTTTTAAATGAAAGCAACCTTCAAAATACTTCTCATCTCAAGGATTTTAATATGAACCGCAAATTGTCTACACAACAGCCAAAGTTTACTAATCCTTTTGCTCGTCTGGATTTTCGGAAAAAAAGGAAGAAGACTACTAAAGTCAAAGTAGTATGTAATATTTCACTCACCGGTTGTATATTGCTCTTCACAAGGTCTTTGATTTTACCACTCATCCTCTCAATATCATTATTATTGCAGATAATCTCACCATAGACTGATGACAGCGTGAAAGAGCTGCCAAGCACTCCAGACCAAAGCGTAGAACATCTTGAGTCATATCAATGTACTAAAAGTTCGATTTACTCGCCACATAACACCCACCCATCTACCTTATAGTTAGGGAGAGATATTACCTAAATAAAGCTAGTAACTGTCAAGAATCATTAAAATGACAGGAAAACTAAATGGTTGAGCGTGGGATTAATAGTTGATATTTATCAAAAAGATTGCCGAACAGTCATTAACTTGTGGGTCATTTACTTTAAAAATACCACCATAATATATTAACTCCAGTTACCTGGTGATTACCTCAATGATAACAAAGTAGAATAAAATAAAAGGTATAAAAGCGAAACATCGTCCCTACTCTTTGCCAAGATTTTACGTTTAGATAAATAAATCTTTTGGCAAACGAACTTTTATTGAGTTCAAGAGTCACAGTTGTGGCACCAATGGGTATTTTTCTGATATGATTTTTATTTCAGAGATGAGTTCTTGGGTGCTGAGCGTTATTTAGAACAGCAATTGATTTATATCTAATCTCATGATAATTATTTTTGAGTTCTTACCGATGGCTTATATACTGACATTCATACGCAAACGCTTGGTGATTAAGAGTTGGACACTTACTTGTGCATTGGTACAGGCCAAAAAGAACTACATCATCCACTGACTGTGCTGTGTTGTGTATTAGATGCTTTATTTGTAGTGGTATGGTTTCATTACTGAAGTATTTATATTCTGCTCATGATTATATCAGTTCTTGAAAAGTCCAAAATCACATTTTGGAAACTTGATCTTGGTTGTCTTTGTCTAGAAGTCCGTATAATAAAACATCATAATTCCAACTAACCGTGTAAAACATACTATTACCACTTATTTTCTAAATCTATTGCTCTATGATGTTTTAGTGTGGCGCATATATATTGGCGCTCTCTTGTACCAATATTCATGTGTTCAAATAAATAAATAAATAAATATGATGTTCTAACTTCCTTGCAAGACTGCTAATTAATAAACCCTTAAGAAACAAAACACATATTGGTACTTAAAAACAGTCTTGATGTTGATTTTAATTCTATCTACAAGTAGTATTTCTTTTTTTTTATAAGCCACCATTGGATTTTCCCCAGTCGTATACTGAGTTGATTTTGGAACTTGCCTACACATCAAACTTAACACGTCAAGTTATTCGACCCTTTAATCGTTGTCATTTAATAAGTCAATTAACTGAATGTGCACGCTTGATTCGTGGACGTATCGCTTCTGGTGCTGCATGTATCCAGCTTCCGTTACTGGCCGATTCCAAAAAGGACGAACAATGTATGAGTGACAAGTGAGTATCACTTACATTTAAGGAAAGAAAACGTTTGGAGTCTTTCCTCATTTCCAAACTATAACAATTGATTGCTAGGTAACAAACACTGTGCCGCTCACTCTTCAGTTCTATTATTCACTCAGCCAAGTGACTAAAACCCCAATATACTTTGTGTAAGCCCAGCAGAGCATCATTTTCTTCAAAGCTAAGGCATCATTGCTTAGGACTTCCTACACATCGCTTTCTGCAACATTTTATTTAACAGACTGACACAGTTTTCTGACCGCCTTATTCTTTACTCGGAATATAAACCTACTAATTTTATTATGGGGGTATAAAAGTAATGCTCATCGTATAGCTTATGGAACTCAGAAAGTGATAAGCTGTATGATCTTTGTGTCTACCATTCTTAGGCAAAAATATGCAATACCTAATTAATACTTGGCTAAAAATCCAGTGTTTATCTTTCCAAAATCCTTAATGTATTGTTGACATCAAGTCTCAGCTCTTGAATTCAAACTGTTGAAAATTATTAGGTATTAAACACCGTTTTCTTTTCGTTGATAGGTACAGATAAATTTACCAATGATAAAACCAAAGACCGTTTAGTTCTTTATGGAATTAGCCTTTAAACTCCTAACCATGGTACCGTTTGTTGTGATTTTCATAACTAGTTTAGTAATACTTTTTTGAAGAGCACAAAATATGAAGAACTACTCATTAAACACATGAGTAGTTAGTGATTCATGTCAGTACAGTGATTAGAGGTCGAAAACATTTTCTTTTTGATTAAAATAATTTTGATTGTTAGCCCGAAATGTATGCATCATTTTTGCAGATAGAGAAAAACGAATCTGTCGAAACTTACCATTTTGACACTTAGTTATCTTTAAACAAAATCTTTAAATATATTAGCAATTTGAATATGTCGAAGATTTAGTCAAATGCTTAATGATCACCGATAATTAAAATAATCTAAAAAATTACACAACTTTTGGCATTATGGTTATATCATGAATTTATTCTAGTATTTGTCAGGTGACTGCTAATTTTCTTCACTTTTCTACGAAAAGTATTAGTTGATATCCGCTTTATTCTTACTGAATCGTGATTATTCTTATAACTTATCAAGAAAATTTTCTACCGGAACACACCCATGGTGATGCGGCTTATATTTACTTGCACTGTTCTGAAGATTTATTTTTTGATAAGGTACATTGCGATAGTCATATTTTCTAGCTGATGGGGAAGTTTCGACTTCTTTGAAAAAAGCATGATTAGTTTTGTGGAGCAATTTATTAATTTTATGCATCTAGATACTCCTGATGTATATATGAGGTACATAAGAAAATTTCTTATATGAATAGCATCATGTCACGATTTGGGCTCAAGTCTTATTATGATGGACAATAAACTAAAATATCGAAACATGAACAGACCACTTATATCATTGGTCTCACTCTTCTCTATTTCCCATATCTCTCTCATAAATAGAAGTATATATATTTAAGTTTGCAGGTGAGTAAGTAAATAAAATGTGCTTTGTTGTTTAAATCTTATTAACTGTGATCAGAAAACTACTTTACAACTGGTTGGAGCATATGTAGTTACACTCATCATTCTTAATTGATCTTCTAGTGTGTTATAGTGAAATATAGATTTATGTATTGCAAGGATTATTAAAACAGTGTGCCGTTCATGACTTAGCACACTATTTTTATGTTTGTTTAGATTCGATTCCATTAATAGAATAATAAAGTGATTGGGATTATTGAGCTGCGCTTTTTAAAACCCAAACGTCAAGTAGCACTCATGTGATGAATACTTCTACGAAAAATTATCTTGACCTAAGAGGTTATTCAACCTACCCTTGAATCTCTCATTAGTTAAAGAACAAGTGCAAATTTTTAAATAGACATAGCCTTGAGCGGATACTCGTTCAAATAAAAAACGGAGTGTGTGGTTAGACCACAATCATTTCAGATTGCAACATATAGTGGATATATTCAATGGGATAGGTGTTAAAAGGAATAATATTCTGTTATATCAATTCAAAAAGTGAGTTCTATACTTCTCAGCGTGGCATATAAATAGTTTGATGACTTTCCTCCTGATGGGTTGTAAATGCTTCTCAACTTATCATTTAATAACTTTTAGATATATACAGAAGGTGAATCGTTCTGATTTGCCACACCGGCCAGGTAATATGTTGATAAGTACGTTTGGGCAGTGTATAAAACTATCAGAATCAATGTACATTTGTAATATGAAGTTATTAAGTTTTATTTGATATGGTTTTCAGCCTTAATTGACAGAGTTTAAATATTAAATCGGTTAGTATGTCGTAAATAGCATAACACAAGGCACAAATTTCCATCGACTCGAATAGCCATGCCACGTGAGAAACTTACTTACTTACTTACGCCTGTTACTCCCAATGGAGCATAGGCCGCTGGCCAGCATTCTTCAACCCACTATGTCCTGGGCCTTCCTTTCTAGTTCTATCCAATTTTTGTTCATTCTTCTCATGTCTATCTCCATTTGTCGGCATAATGTGTTCTTTGGTCTTCCTCTTCTCCTTTGGCCTTGAGGATTCCATGTGAGGGTTTGCCTTGTGAGTGGGTGCTTTCCTCACTGTGTGTCATATCCACTTCCAGCGCTTCTTCCTGATTTCTCCTCGGCTGGGATCTGCTTTGTTCTCTCCCATAGTAGGTTGATGCTGATAGTGTCTGGCGAACGGATCCGAAGTATTTTGCGTAGATAGCTGTTAATAATCACCTGTATTTTTTGAATGATGGCTTTCGTAGTTTTCCAAGTTTCCGCCCCATACAGTAGAACTGTCTTGACATTTGTATTGAAAATTCTGACCTTGGCCACGTGAGAAAAGTGAGGTAAAATTCTAAAGATGGAAACTACAGTATTAATATCATTGGTAGTAACAAGACTACACAAAGAGAATGGTTTACGAGTTTGGATATTAGATACTCTAATACGTAGCTTGAAACCAGGTCACCAAAAACCAGGGATGTTATTTTATAAGTTAGAATTATCACCACTTTCGGAGTACCTGTGTAAGTTGATGTTGCTCAAGCAGTGCTATCAGACATAAACTATGATGCAGGAATTAATAATAAAGCTACTTGCTGACATGTTTAGGACAGTTTTTGCCAGGGGTGTGCTGGTTCACTACTGTATCTGTATTATCTCCAGTTTGATATGGTAAATTATTTTACTCGCAATTTAAATTCACAGTAGCTTAGTTTACAGTATAGTCAATAGGATCATTACGCTTATTATCACTGGAAAAAATCCAATATGTTTCTGAAGGTGAAAAATTGATTTAAAAAAATTAAAACTGTCTATTTACTTTTGTTGTTCATTTTGCTACTTATTTTGACCTAATTTATAGCTTTTATCTTCTATTAAATATTGATCAAACTAAGATACTCTAATATCAAGTGATTTAAACCTATATACTTGATCATTTATTCTTATATTGAGTTGGCATGTGTTTCGAATCCTAATTTTCTCGGCCGGTTAACAAGTATACTAAATGTAGAACATATGACTTTGTGAATTAAAATCAAACCAATAAACCTTTGAAAGATACTCATTTGATTTTCGGGTCACTTTTTTACTATTTACTTGGATTCGCGATCATATTTCACATTAGTCTGTCGTGTAGATTTTTCATGCGTGTACTAGTTGTGTTTTCTTGAGACGGTTAATATGAGAATACAATCCTAAACAATGCTGACATCATTTCTGTTAGTGCACTCACTAGTAGAGAAGTTTGATACCTCTTTCTGTTAACTCAGTCCTCTGATCGAATAAAAGATAGATAATTCAGTACATAAATCTTTTTTGCTTCATTTCTTCGAAGGATCCAGGGATCCGAAATGTTCTGTCAATATTGTTATTCGGAATCATTCACTAGGATGATTATTCACAAAGATCAATGAGAACATTTCAATGACTTAAATATTTTTGATATACTCCATTGTTTAAAGTCCCTTGATTAAATCAGTCATACTGCCACACCAGTTGTCCTCTGTCTAGTCTTTAGACTAATTTCTCTTTACTTCAGAATCCTTGGATTATAGAGAAAGAGTGTTCATTGGACAAAATCTATGTCCATCTTCTCATATTTACATCAATCTTCATTTTAGATTGAATGTCTGTGACAGAATAAACAAAGTTTGGTATCTTCAAGTTCTTTCTTCAACAATTATCGCATGTCACTTATCTTACTTGATAACTTTAGACAGTTGTTATGTAATTATCAGGTCAATTTTACTCTTAAGTCACAGGCTATCATTTTAAGCACCTATATGCATTTATGTAAAACTGTCGATAACCAAATGACATCTTGATAGGTTTATACATATCTATTAATTAGAGTGTTTTTTGTGGAAATTATGATTACGAACCATGATCCCTTTGTGGTGCGTGCTACTTATATTGACATAAGTAGTATATAACGCGAGTCAGGAATGTAATGTCTGGCAGCAGAAGATTGTGAAGATCAAGAAAGGAAGAACGGGAATAAAAAGCAATTAGTATGGAAATGCAAGAACAATTAAGTCCGAGACAATTATTGAACACTTTGCAAATTAAGTATTGTAGTACGGTTTTTTATTTTACCAAGTAACCCTGTAATTTTATGCTAAGTTATTCGGTTGTCTTCAGCAGTGTTCTCCTTCACTACAACCTAAAGACCCACTAAAACCCAAAGAGCTCTGGATAAGTGTTTCACTCTAGTTTAAGAGTTAAAAATATCAACCATTATATTCCGAAGCATTGATAGACGACAAAGTGGTTCACTAAGTGATTCCGGCTTATAATGAAAATTATCTTAAATTCGTATATATTATCCTATCTAGGTTATAAACATTACAATATAATATTAATTATTGAACTTGAAATATGTCTATTTTCTTTATCTCTTACAATATGGTTTGTATCATCCCAGTTGTGTCATTCATAATTAAAATTAGTTCTGAAAAACTATTTTGTTAATTATTACTATTATCCGGTTGACTGTATGCTTATTTAGTGTTCTCACATTTCATGTACATGATGTTTATTTTCTTTCTTTTATATCCATTACATTCTATACTTTCATTCTATTTGTTTACAAATTTCAGAGAAAATCTATCAGTTCCACCGATTTTAATGACCTTATTTTTCATGTGATTATGGATTCTGTTTCTCAGCTCTTTACTCTGATTTTTTTTATTGTTGTAGGAATTGATTGAGTAGTTAATGTAAAGGTTATATTAAATATTCATGATTACTTATTGCTTTTACTCCTTCGTCCGCATAAAATGAACTCCGAATTGAAAGATATATAAATTATTAATGCAAGTGCTAGTTTTTATATTCTCTTTAAAGTAGGTATCGTGTAAAGAAAATATCTGCTACTTCTGTATTTATTGTGTAATAAAAGTTAGGATCATCCTAATGAAGTAATTTCAATTACTTGTATACAGTGTTAATTCGCTTTTGTTCATGCATAAAGAAAAGCTTAAAATTGACTAGATAATAAATTAGTAACAATATATTTCTACTTATCGGATTACCAGCTTTCTAGATCAAATCAATAATCTCCCGTGGGGCTATGCTTGAAAAGTTCTGGTCACAACCCAACAATGTTCTCAGTCTTACTATAGGACGTGCTATCACTGAAATTAGAAGATATTACTATTATGATAGATCACTTAACTGATAAAATGTCAGAATAACTTGGATAGCCAAACCGATAATTTGCTCGCATGATTGATCCTTAGATCCAAATTGGATCAAGTTTTGAAGTCAGAACTACTAGTCGACCATGTAAATATATTTTCGGAAAACGGAACTATGATTTGTGGACAAAATATTCGGTTATAATATCATGACAATCACTTGTTTGTCAGTTGAGGAATGGATAATCAAAAATAAAAATCATTAAATAACCTGTGATTATTTAATTTCGTGTTTTGTGAACGTCGGTGTTTTGAATTGACTTCCTGGTCGTCATGCTTACCGATTGAATGATGATAATGTTTTCTGGAAACTAATCTTAAAAGTATTTTTCCTCAGTTATTCTCTCTCTTTGTCCCATCTTATTTCATCTGCTTTTTGTGTATTTATTGGTAATCTCAATATTAGTTGAATTCATGAATCGATCTAAGCTAGACCACCATTAAAAACCCGGAAGCACTGGACGGCGCAAAACTGAGGATCCTGGGTCCGAGTTCCGTGTGCGGGATCGTGGATACGCACTACTGAGGTTTCCTATTATACTAGGGCGGAACGGCCGTCCAGTACTTCCAGGTTTTCAATGGTGGTCTAGCTTAGATCGACTCATGAATTCAACTACTAAAATTACTACAATCTCCAAAAACCCCCATTCTGATAATCTCAATATTAAACAACTATTTAGTGAAAATTTGATTCTTCTAAAATTATTTTCAATGGTTTCTGTACGTTACTGTTATTGGAATTCAGGACGAAATTAACAAGTCCTTGTTTGAATTTGTTTTTTTGTATCCGTTTGTCTTCAGTGTTTCTCTCATATTCCTTTTGCTTCTTCGTAACACTTCCTGCTTTTTGAATTGTTTGAAAAAGTATTTTAATAAATAGTGTTAAAAGTATGAATTATTGCTTATAATTTCTAGTCCTACCACCTCAAGTATATTTTGTTATTACATGGAATCCTTTGTTACAAACTTTAATCACTTCATCAACATTTGTTGCTTGCATGATCATGAGTGTGTGGAATTGTTTTTGGACTGTTTTCCGATGAATGAGGTGATTGTAAACAGGCTTAACGGTACTATACTCAGGTATTGTCTGTTGATCAGTGTTAGGGGTAAAATTAACATGACGGTGTGCAGTATTTCATTTGTTGCATCCATTTTCCTGTCACCTAATCTAGTCGTTCTATTTTTCATCTGGATTAAAATGTTTGTATACGCGATCCCTTCTGTAGTATCTTTAACGTCTCACATTGATAGATTACTACTTTCAAATGCTGTTCAACGTCGATGTTGAATATGAATTTGTCACAAATTACAAAGTACCAGCTGTACACATATTATGCGGGTGAAAAATAAATTTCTAATGAATGATACATATATTTCATTAGTTTATTTGTCTCTTTTTGTTTTTGTTTGCTTGTTGTGCGCGAATCACATGATGTTTATGTTACGTACAGATGTTCCTTTTTTGGCAAGAAAATATCGAAGATTAATTGGTACCATAGATTTTAATCTAATCAGTTAACTTTATATTGTGAAGTCATTTTATTAATGCGTTTTGATGACATTTCTCTTATCCATTTTTTTTCGTCTTTCAATGACAATACTGTAAGTCAGTAATAAAAGTTTCATTTTTAAGTAAAATTTGTATTAGTCAAGTCTATATTTCTAATTATTAAGAATTAAATACCATTGTTACTGATTGTTTATATGAGTAATTCACAAGTTGTCATGTGAAAGTGATTGGCATTTCTAAAATAACTAATATAGATTTATATTCATTTAAATCATATTTATTATACGTTTTCTTTTTTAAAAGTGAGTCACTAGTTTTACAGTTTAACAATATATCCTACTTTTCCACGTTAAAACATCATTCAGAAAATGTTAAAAAATTATTTAGAAAGATGAATACGAGTATCTTTGTGATGTTAAATTCTATGCATTGTGTTCTTCAGTGAATTATTTTAGGTTATTTGGTTCTCAATACTTAGGTTTAGGCATCTCACGCATCTTATGGTATTATTACTTTTCATTACATTAAATATTTGGCTCAAAACCGTCAATCAGACTACACTTAGTTATATTGAAGAATAAACGTCTTTTGAGTCCTATAAATCTGTTTACATCTGTACAATATGATGATACAGTGTAATAATCATTTATAGATGGTAAAACTAGATAAATCACACTCGAAGACATTAAATGATACATAATAATCCTAACATAGGCTATTGAGATAATGTAATTTACTGTAAAAGAAGCTGGACCTGAATATTCTAATTTTTAATAAGATTAATGTTAGATTATTTGGCAGTCAGTATTATTTTTTAAATGAATGAAGCAAACAAAATTTGTAACAAAGAATAATAAAGTAAACATCTCTAAATTAAATATTTTTTCCAACCAATATCATGCATTATTATTACAGAAGGAAGTAGATCTACCTTCATTGTATAATAAAATCGTGATGTAAACTAGCTAGATTATCAATTCATTTAATTTAACACATTTGTAAAGTAATTGTCCTCCAACTTTTTTCAACTTAAAAAGTCAGTCTTTACAATTTTTACCTTGATAACAATTTTATTGATGAGATAAAACATTTCTTGATCATGCGTTGTTTACAGTTTGCTGATATGGTTTTTTATTCTGGTTACTAATTTTTTTCATCTGATTATCTACACTCATTTTCTTTCCCTTTTGTTGTTAAAGTCGAATGATTATGGTAAAGATTAATCAGTTCAATGAAGCACATGCGTTATTTACTGATTGGATTAATAAACTTTCATCAGCTCCATTTGTAACTAACACATTTGGTCCGACAGTTGTTCAACCTTCTGATGAAAATAGTCCTACAAATCAACATATTCTACTATCAAAATCAAATTATTCTATACAGGATGCTAATTTACTACAAGATTTACAATGTGATGGTGAATTGTTATTCTGTCAACTTCAATCATGTGCTTTGGTAAGCAATCTTTTCACATTTAATTCAATACTAGAACTGTTCTATACAGTAAACTTCATATTATGGAGTTGTTTATTTTTAATGAGAAATTTTTTTTGTCATTTTTACATTCCTGTATATTGTAACCAATTAACTAATTCTATTTAAGTCTCAAAGCTGAAAAATTTAAGCTCAAGTCTTAGCATGAAAATACTAAGATGGATTTCATATATATTTAAATGTTAACTATTATGATAGCTAAGATGAAATGTAGCTTGAATTACATTGCGAACTTTTTTACTAGATACCCTCATGAAATATTTAAATTTCACTTTCATTAACTTATTGATTAAACAGAAAGACAACTGAAGTTTCTAACACAGAAATAAAGATAAACAAACATACAGATGAGTTTAGTTATCATCAATCAGATTAGTCATTATATAATTACTATCGATTAGTAAGAATAAATTATGTAAATATAGTCAAAAAGTTAGAAATAATTTGGTAATTGTTTCTACCGAATAATTAATTATCAGTTTGTTTATTGCCCTCAAATTTCATTGATTAGTTAATATAACATGTAAACGCTTTATGAAGCTTTATCTTTCGCTCAATAAATTATTGAATATTTACTTATGTTATACGAATCAGTCTTAGTTCAGTTTTGATAGAGACCTAAAATCTCAGTACTCTTGCATTTAGTTAAACTGTTTGTTCTTAATATTATGCAAATGCGACGTTAACAATATATTTATATAGAATAAATGAAGTGTGAGTAATAATGGTACACGGAAAGCTCATTTTTCCCTATTCTTTATTAATTTACGTTATAATGGCTACATAAGACAATCCGCATAGGATCGACCTATGCTAACCAAGGCTGATCGAATTTCAGTCAAAATAACAACGGGATAATCCAAACCATGTCGACTTGAGTACAGTTATAGTTCATCATATCGTAATAGTTTAGGCAAACTGTCATGTGTTTCACTTACTAACATTTCAAATATAGAAAACCAAATAGTTTGTTATTTATGAACAAATTATCAGTATCATTTTTAAGTTGCTTGACGTTATCTATGTGTAAGTGTGAGAACTTGAACAAAATATCACGTGGGAAAGTTATAGTCACAAATATTTTGAGTTCGATCCAATCTGTGTAGTGTTTACTACTTAAATATAAACTTGCTGTAACAATTACCAGATAAAAAGTATATTGTAGTTTATATAAGACCCTGACTTTTTTTAAGGGACTTCTAAGCGATTCACATTAAGGTTCAATTTGCAAGGTTGCCAGATGACACTATGGGCTACATTTACACGGTACCCTTAACTGGTTTGTGGGATCTTTGTCCGTCTGACAGTACGGATTACTTTAGTACACCGTCGGTTTGTGAATATAGATTTTCATCTGTCGTTAGGACTTCTCTTCTCCTATACACAGTAAATGTTCTATGAAAAGCAATAATTCATTTCAAGAATGGACTGCGATTGCGTAACCTCACTAGAGTAGTTCAAGAAAATGAGTGGGCTCCTTACATACTATTCATTATACTGGACTATTCGTAGGTTTGAATAAGTTGTAGCTGTTTAGGGAATTTACCGGTGTATTTATTCTTCCCAGACTATTAAACAATAATAAATATTTGGTGTTTAAAGTGTAATAAAAGATGCAATGGGTAAAAAAGCATATATTGTATTTTTACTTAATAGAAAAAAATGTATAACCTAACAGTTGTAATTGTACACGCAAATATACTATTGCCTACTTGTCGATTTATTGGCTACAGAACTCACTTTTCAACCAAGAGGCCAGATTTTAGAACTGCAGTCTACCTACTTGAGCTTGAGCAGCCAGGTTATATCATTAGTCCTCAAAAAGAGTGTCACCTAAAATTGACTACGTAAATCTGTAATTCCTAAATGTTGTTATCGGTTGAATAGTACTACTAGTATATAAGTACATTTTTATTAATTATGATTACAGTATTATAATTTCTAATAACTCGTTAATTTAGAATTAGTTCAATTAAAAATAAAATATGATTAAAGGAATAAATTGGTGAAGATAATGATTCTTGAATTTCAATGAGTTTCTTCTTAGAAATTAAATTATACTCAATTTACTCCGTATAGTTTACCAAGACATTTATTTATGTAATGGAAATTAATTTGAGCAAAATTCCACTGCATATCACTAACTTCTGTTCCCTTTTTTCCTCTCAATTACCCTTTTAACTTTATGAAATCCTCAATGGGATCGATTCACTATGTATCATGAGAATAGCTTTCTTTCATTATCTCACTGACACACAAAATGTTTTAATTTTATCAGTCTTATTTTATTTTTGCAAAAATCTTGTTTATAATTTCTAACTGATAGTTATCAAGACAGAGAACAGAGTGTTAGAGAGGAGTAGAAGCTAAAATAATGCAAAACTAACCATTACTGAAAAAGAGGTCATAATTAATTCATACTTTAGCTAGTCCTGTCATCAAATATATATATATATATATATATATATAGAGAGAGAGAGAGAGATTTCGCCTAATTAAAAACCGGAAATACTCTATAATTATTTCGTTGTAGTGTTAAGGATTTTTATTTAGTTCACTTTCAACAATCCACTTGAGATTGAACGCCCGAATTTCCTGGTGATTTTGTAACTGTTTAGACTCACAGTTGGAAGTCAGTAATTCACATTTTCAAACTTCAGTCCATTTTTGCAGTATGACATTCATTATTACACATAACCTGTTCAATAGTAGAACGACAACACATATCCAGTGTGCGATAGTGAGCGTGTAGGTTTCTAATATACGTCACATGAGAACAATAGCTATCGAGTGCTCCCTCGCCTTTATTAGTCCACGGCTATCGTCATTTTGGAATGTAAACTATGTTCCTTGCAAACTATTTAAGCTTATGTATGTATACTGATGGTGTTGCGTCAATTTTTGTTCTTATTGCCGAAAAAACTCAAAATGATCACTATATATTCATATCCTTTTTAAAAAATCCAACTGTAAAACGTTTTGTTTTCATTTTACAACTTATTCAGCCCACTGTACGACTGGTCGCTTTTAATAGTTTCTTTAGGATTTCGCAAAGCTAAATCCTTTCAAAATAAAAATCCAAAGTATAGTCTTGTATTAAACATTTATGTATGAGGCACAATTTTGTATCATTCAGTTCATTCAGGGTGCTGTTAGAGGTATGAGGGCGGTTATCACTTCCCGGTTGCCCACACCGTGGAAGGGTTCTTCTGGAGGTACCTGAAAAGGAAATTGGATTAGAGGTGGTCTCAGTGACCTGAGAGCGTGACCGCAGTGCCCAAGGGACAACTGCTTGAGGCCGGTCGCGCACGGCCTTTTCGTGGAAGGTTTTCGACGTGTTAGCTCCGTTCTTCAAAGGGCCTTACCGCCGGAGACGGAAATCCGTGAGGTAAGGTGAGGTGTGCATTTTTAGGGTCGACCTTTTCTAACCCCACCCCTCCTTGTGGGAAGGCAGCATCGCTGTCATGCTGGTTGTCTGAAGGAAACACCTTACTGCTGTCACACCTCTGTACAGTCAGCAGTACGACTTCGCCTTCGGACCTTGGGTTTGTTGCTTTTAGTCTTACCGCTCTTCAACCGACCTGTCTGACATGGTAGGACCTTGAGGAACGGTTGTTCCAGTCAGTATAGCTCGGTTGCTTCATCACGATAGGCAAGCCCGACCACCACGTCAAGGTAGCAACAACGGTCGGGAAATCTCAGCACGGATTCGAAAAGCTCGTTTGGCTTTTGCCAACTTACGTCACCTTTGGCGGAGGCGAGATATCCGTCTATCAATAAAAGGACGAGCATACTGCGCGGCAGTCCGTTCTGTCTTACTTTACGGCAGCGAAACATGGCCTTTAAGAGTAGAAGACATCCGTAAGCTACAAGTATTTGACCACAGATGCCTTAGAAATATTGCTGGCATCTGCTGGGATCACCGGGTAAGTAATAGTGAGGTTAGACGCAGGGTATTAGGGAATGATGGTAAATCAGTTGATGAGGTTATGAATCTTCATCGACTGAGATGGTTGGGCCACGTATTACGTATGCCTGAACACCGATTACCACGACGTGCAATGCTAACCGGTGTAGGGGTTGGTTGGAAGAAAGTTAGGGGCGGCCAAACCAAAACGTGGCATCAGTGCTTGAAGTCACTAACTTCTAGTCTGAGCCATGTTGGTAGATGCAGACTACTTGGTTGGGGTCCGCGTGACTATCGTAACCAATGGTTGGAGACTCTTGGTGACATGGCTCAGAATCGATCACAATGGCGTCGGTGTATACACTCCCTGTCTTCCCTTAAACTAAGAGATTAAATCACTTCATATCTTTCTTTCTACGAACTAATTCTTCCTTCCTATACTATATCCTTATTGCAACCTTTGACCTAACCACTCCTATGAATCCGGTGTTCATCTTGTTGTGCTAATGAGGTATGGCAACCTGGACCGATCCACATATGTGCCTGGTCCTACGTTGTAGCTGACTGACTGACTGACTGATTCAGTTCATTATCTGCTTAAATCGAAGGACATAAGGAAGTAAGTATATTATTCAAATAGAAAATATCATAATGGCGATGATTTGAGAGAGAACCTAGTGGACGGAATACACCCATTAAGACACTAAATGAAAAAGATTAGTTCAACGAAGAGTTCTCTTTTCGGCGAATTCATTTTCAAAGCTGTACAATCGCAAATATATAAACTTATTTTACAGGATGATGATAATACTGGTAATAAACCTCTGTTAGATATGGTGACAGTGAGGTTAAATTAACAAAGGTATTAAATTTTTTTAAACTAGGAAAGTTTAATAATCTTCTGATTGTTAATGGTTTGAGTATTGATAAAAAGGATAGATAGGGAAATTATTATTGGGAAAGGATGACTCAGCATAATTGCGATTGCACAGCTTTGAAAATGATTCCGCAGAAAAGAGAACTCTTCGCTGAACTAATCTTTCTTATTTAAGATCCTAGTGATTCGAATTCCTGACTTCTATATGTATAACATAGTAAACACAATCCTCTATATCAATATCTAATGTTGCTACTGTTGTTTTCTGTGCATTGTGTATATTCTTCTCTCCAGGCTGTGTTTGAATTACTCAAAAATGTTGGCTACACCACGTTTGTTGAACCGTCATGTATGGAAGCTTCGCTGTATAAAAGTTGGTTAGTGTGTATATGTTTCACCTAAACTTACTTATTCATTTTGTACTACAACAGATAATTTTACATAAATGTGAATTTAAAAAAAAACAGTTTAACAGTAATTAGTTTCCATAAATATGTAGGTTGTTGCGGATACTCTGTTTTACTACTCTCATCATTTAAACTTCTATCACTGGATGAACATATAAAATGAACATGAAGAAAAGTATTCATCTTTCTTACTTGATGTTTTCCATAGTTTTTTTTCTTTTCACTTTCTCTCATATACATCTCTGCTGGAAATATTTGAATTCAATATCTCGATGTTCCCATTATGTATTACTTTAAATGGTTCTGGAATAAATAAGTGCTTTCTACGGAGTTGAACAATATTAGAATGTACTTCATCTGAATGCCAAATTGTTGAATTTACAATTTGAATATAAAGAGGCTGGAAAACTGGTTAATTAGAATGATTCTTAAATTGATAGCTGTTCTGTGATAAAACATGCATCAAATGTTATCTATTCCGGTTTGAGACGTAAGCACAAGGTCAATGGACAAATTAATAAGTCTGCACTGAAGAATAAAAGCGACTCCCCATACTTATTTCACTTTCTTTACATAGAAATATTCTTTTTATTCTTAGTTTTTATTATTGTTAGATACTTTGTCAGATATTTTTCTTGGTCTATGAAATTCGTATTCAGTTTGGAATTGAATGAATTCTTATGAAAAAAACAATAATATACACGGTTTCATATTATCTGCTTTAAAACCGGCGATAAAAATAAGATATGATCTACTATTGGTTGTTAGCAAAAATCACATTGTCTTAGATTTTTTTACAAACTCATGTATGGTCGATATCTTATTCTAAAGCCCTATAGTACTACAGGAGATGGGAGTAACTAAATACAGATCGAGTAATTACTTTAAGGGAGTCGAACATATTTATTGTGTTTATAGATGTTCTTTTTGATGGAGCTTTGTTCTCTGAGCTAGATAGATTAGTCGTGAAGCTTTCATCGTTATTCTGGACATCATTAGCGCAAACTTCAGGTAGAAGTGAAGTGTTCGAATTTCTCCACACATGGCTCACAGCCCGACGAGAGGGAAAATAGCTGAGCAAAGTGGAAGAAAAATTGTATATTTAATGATAACTGATGCATATTACAGGATCCAGAATACCAACACGTCATAGATGATGTCATGTATGGCGATGAAAACTCCACGACCAATCCATCCACCTAAGCCATAAATGTTTACCATCTCAAAATCATATGAGCGTAGATGGTCTTTATCTGAACTCTGTAAATAACTGATCTAATTGGATAGCTCCATGAAATGATTTTCTATAATGCAAAACGTAATAAATATACAACTAGTTGGTGATAGTTGCTTTTAGAGTATCATTTGTTTAGATGGTTGATATCCTAGAGTACAGCATTTGGGTTAGTTGTAAAAGTTTGTATAACTGAGTGTAGTAATTATTAGAACAAAAAAGTTTTATCCATCACACTATTTGATGTATGGTTTGGCACCATATTCAGTCACCAACTGTATTTATCTATCATTATTATTAGGAGTAAAATTAAATTGAAAGTAACTTTCCGATAGTTAAAACACGATGTGACTTTATTTATTCATGTCACTAGTGGTTGGACTGTTTTGTATATATGTCTTTAGGCTTGTTATTCATAGTCTAATACACACGGTACATAGTACAATCCTTCTTATACATTAATCTTGAATGAGTCAAGAATTACGACAAATTCCATATATTTCTTCAGAAAATCTTTGACCTTGACTAATAATTCCTTTAACAGTTTTATCAAACTTTTGTTGAGTACTGTTGCTACGATAATTTTAAATAATCTTATTGATTAATTAATTAGTTGTTCTAATCAAACCACCCCCATCCTGGTGTCACCACGTTTTCATTCAATTTTAGTTGTTCCAAGTTGGTTAATTTTTTTCTACTTTTAAATAGCTATTTCGATATACATAAATCGATTGTTTTCTGCTTGTTTGTTATTTGGTATTATTTTTCACTAATCATTTATAGTAATAATAATAATCGTAATTGTTTATACTTTCACAAAGTAATTGACGTTCAATAAAATGCTTATTTTACTGATTAACTATTGTTTATTAAGTAACCAATCGTTATATTTCTGAAATGGTGTTTTGTGTTTTCAAACTGACTATTCTTGTTTTGTACTTCGATTAATCTTTTTCCCTTTGACAAGTATCGACAACTGTTGTCAGTAAATTATGGTCAAGTATACCTGTCGAAGCTATTAAGTTGATCAGTACTGACTAGAACGTTTTTTTTTTCATAAAATTTAGAAAATGTTCAAACTAAAAACTTATGCCATCGTAATATAAATAGGTAACATTTGAGTAAATGGTTGATCAAATGATGAAATCTAATTACTCATTAACAACTAACTTCATACTTACTCTTACCTACCTCTCTTCGATAACAGTGATCGACTTCCGACGTTTCTCTGTTTATATTACTTGTTTTCAATCAAAATCGACTTTACATAAGGCATTTGGCAGCCATTTCGATTGACACAACTGCCTAAACAGTAAGATCATATGGCTATTAGCCATCTTTGTCGAGGATTGGCTGAAAAATTTATATTATTTCTGAACCATTTGTGTGTATTTCGTTCATGGATTGTTACCTGCTTGAATATATCTGTAACTGAATGAGTATTCTAGTTTTAAAATGGAAATATCATTATCTTCAAGAGAAAGATGGTTCAAAAAGTCTGTGCAACTAGAGATTGTAGTAATTGACTGCATATAGTACTATGCTTGCATCCTGAATTTTGGTAGGCTAGTTACCGACAAAAACTCTTTATTGCATCTAAATGCCTGTTTAATATTTACCAAGTTGTTTCATTTTTAATTCCGAGTGCCCGATATGTGGTAATATTACTACTTAACAGTTCACTATACAGTCAGGGCATAACCACTGAATTTAGGTTTTTATAAATCGGGAATTTTTATGCATGACAGTGAAATCATTGAGTGGAGATTTCTGAGTGTTTGGACAAGGTCTCGGTTAAACAAGGTGTTTCATTTAATAAACTTTACAGCTATTCTTATGGTTTCTTGGTCACTGCCTATAGAAATCCATGTGCAAAGTACTCAATGATGGCAAAGCATTTCAATTAATAATAACAATACATGTTATCATGTTAATTCAGTTGATACTAAACAGATAATAAGTACTCAATGGAAGACTGATAAATTGTTTTTGTGTACTAATAAATCACTTTACATCGTTGTTAATTACTCGGATTGTTGCATTTTCATTTGGTATAGCTATGCACAAAATGAATCAACCCCTATTCATTTAAACAAAAATGGTCATGAAATTAAAAACAGTGGTACCGAAATTCTTAGTCATTCTAATTCGTATAACAATACATCAATAAAAAGTTCAAGTGTGTTCACTGATGAAGATCGTGAACTTCTAGCTAAACTATGGCGTTATTTAGATCCTAACAGTAGTTTATCAGGCACCAATTCACCACCACCAAAACCTCCACTACCTAATTTATGTCCTCTCAACATTCCATTCTCTGATCGTCGTACGGATTTAGTCAGCTCTAGTAATCAATCTTCTCAACTTAGTATGAACCCATTTGATGATCCAAACTTGTTAGCATATTTATGTATAATTGCTTCTACTGCTCAACAAAAGTACCCTTCAAATTCAAGTCCAATTAAGAAAAGTTCAGATTGTCAAAAAGAATTTACATTCCCAACCACCAGGTATGTTTCAATGTTGATTTTAACTAAAAACAAGCTTAATTTTACTGTCGTTTGTCTTCAGTTTTTGTCTCAAGTCATTTACCATACTATGCTTAATTATTTTTTTCTTTCTTTTTAATATAACTTAAAATCAGATTGGATTTAAATGCAACTGACTACTTGTGTTTCCCATTAGTCGATGAGTCGGATACTAGTGATCTAGAGTCGAATTTCAATAATTCGATTAAATTAGATAATTCTTGTACAATACGAACACCTAGTTGTAAACCTAAGAGCGCATTATTTTCAGTTAAAGATGCCTCACATTCTGTTATCGAACAACCTAAACTGCCTACGGGACAAAACGAAAAAGTTGATCACTTTGATGAAACATCGTTATATTCAACAACTTGTAACGGAAAGTTTTCACATGTTCATTCCAGTCGAGTAAGCTATTTTGTATATCAGCACCATTTTATTTTTTCTAATGATAGCTTATTTTGATTTGGCATATTCATGCTACTTTATGCAGTAATATTTTCACTAGTTATGTTCAAAATATTCGTTTCAAAGTACAAACTATGAATATCCTCTATAGATTGTCACATTTTATGTAAGCTAAAAAAGAATATCTAATGAATAATGGACTTTATCAGTGGAAACCGTTAAGAGGTTAACTTAAATACCACCAACCTACTTGCCAGCAATATACATTTTTTCATAGCTAATTAGACTTAACTAGCGTTGTCTCTATATGTGTACATAATGTATTCTACCTAATGGATTTCAGTGTGTTATGATCCTACACGCTCACATCAAGTAATCCTTTATCTTGTGTAGAAAGCGAGATTCTGTGAGGTGGATACACACTGATATCTTTGTTTTCTGTTTCCCTCCTTAAGAGTTTACCGATTTGTATTATATTACTTGGAGAAAGTGATGGTTTAATTATTAGATAAAAATTCTTAAACAAATGTATTCTCATGTTCTTGTATAAAACGTTTCTGTTGTTCGAATGCTAGATAATGATAGAAAACTTTTATTCGATCACTTACTGTGTAGTAACGAATTCCATGTTTATCTAATCCTTTAATGATGATTAAATCCTATCGATCGAGTTTCAGTTTGGCCACTAATCTCAGTGACTGAACAACGCACACACTGTTTTTTTTATGTTACACTGTTATAGGTAGCCTCATAAATAATGATTCAATTCTAATAAATGAACATTAATCAATACATAATTTCTTTTATGCACCCATTGCCTTATTTTTGTGAAATTGTTCATTCAAATCGTGACAAATGTTTGTGCAAACATCGGGATGATTCACAACTAATATTTCTCACATAGATTGCATGGCTCGTGTATTGCTCAAGTTCTCAATAATAGTGTGAATAACTTTTGAATGATTATTGTATTTAAAGTTTGAAATTCTGATGACGTATTATTATATTAACCAAACACAAATTAACACCTCTATCTAACCTATTGTCCTCCTGAGAAGTAGTTAATCTATTTCAGAGATTTTTAATTTATTGCATTGCTTCACTAGAAATTGTCAAACGCTAAATAATTTTTTGTCAATTGTTTTTTGTTGTGTTTGTTTATAGTTTTAATATATTCAATAAAAGTGCTTATACAAAAACCTAAATCCACCGAATGTTGCCAACACCTATGAGTAGTGAAATGATTTATTTCATCTAACTTTGAATAGGTTTTTACAAAGTTTATGTTGAGTTTAGTCAGATCACTTAATAAAGAATGTACCATCAGGATTGTTCTTATATACCGTAGTACTTTAAAACTATACAACCAAACCTAAGAAATATCATTTGATAAACAGATAATTTTAACCTATTTGAAGCTTATTATTTTTACAAACGACAACAAAATCCTTCATTCTAGCCTTAGTTCAACAAAGTTTTATTTACATTACTTCAATCGTTTAAAAATTCACATTATATTTCTATCAGTATTTTTTGCTATCGATTCAGCTATATACATACGACTCATTGTAACTTATCTCGGTTAAATATCTTGGCATCACTTTTTAAACATAGAATTTAATGACTTATTGATTATCTGGTCTCAATGTAAAGTTGTTCGCCTCAGTGTGTTGTAATGTATTGGCAGTAAACGTTTGCTGTAAATTACCAGATAAAGTTACTTCAAAACTCTAAATTATTAAAACAGATTTCAGTATTGGACAATAATATATAAATGCATCATTTACTTTCTTTTTTTACGTCGTTTTCTCCGTAACTTATTAATCATAGAGAATTGATAGTGACATAAAATATCCTGTATATACATTTAATTTCATCTAGACTGAAGTCATATACTAATATATCAACTTCAAACAATCTATTTACGCGAAGTTAGATAACATGCCAAGATTTATACATTAGAGTTTGAGCAATGGGTAAAGCCTCATCGAAGAAATAGGATACAGTGGTTATAAACTAGTCATGTGTTAATTGAATATACATTGAGAGACTAGTTTACTAGTTGATGTCCCCACTTTACTCATGTTTATATACATTAGTTCAGATTTGAAATTAATTATCGCCTGTCAATGGATTCTTCAGGATTAAATTTCAATACTTCTCTTCTATTTCTTGAGTACAAATTGACCTGTCAGTACTTTCTTTAATGTTAGATAGTAAAAATCCTAAAGTGAAATTCCCATTGGGTTACCGATTCGTATGTCTATTTGTATATTTGAATATTTTTCATAAATAATTAAAAACTTTCATGAAACAACTTTAAATTTACTATTATATTCATATATTGTAATATTTAGAAATTACCATTTCAATTGAAAGACTGTAAATATTGGTCAAAATCAATGTCATCTGCAGATTCGAACAATCCACTTAGTGATAGTTTAATGCAGGAGGAAGTAGCAAAAATGGTGATGCATTTACAAGATAATGATTCGTGTACTTCACATCAGGTAATTTATAGTTCAGTGTTTCTATTTTGATTTTTATACAACTTGTTGCTGTTTTGAATACCTATGTTTTTACATATCTTACCGTCATTACTTTGATAAGGTGAAAAATGATGTAGAAAACAGTTGACATCATCTAATAAATGACCAAACTGTGTAAATCACTAGGTAGCTATTTCAAAATAACTTCTTTATAATTACAAAATATGCCTTAGGACCTTCAGTTTTAAAGACCATGATGTGTCATACATGAATTGAAATCCAATGATTTATAATTTTTGACTTATGAATTGAACTGTTAAATTTCTTATTATTATTCTGCTTTATTAAGTAGATAAGTGTCTTTACCTTTTATTCCATCGATCATTACCTCTTATTACTTCCTAGTGTAAGCTTTTGATGATTGTTGATTACTTTGTTAAATGATGCAACCTTTTTTTATCTAATACTTGAAAACTTTAATTAAATTGAAATGGCACCCTTTCATTTACAAATTATTGTACTCAATACTTGAAAAAAAGTTTTGATAATCTTGGCTACATTACGCGACACCACTTCATTAAGTTTAACAATCTTTGATAATTTTGTAAAACCCCTCTATTTTAATATGGACTGGTACGCGTAAAAAATAATTGATAAATATATAAATGCAAAATTTCATAAGATGATATCGTTCAAACGAAAATGTCGTTTGTTGAGACATTTTATTTCTTTTCAATGAATAAAACATTTATTTATGATATTCTCTTAGTTGATTTCAACCGTTACAATGTATATAGATCGTTAGTTTATTTTCAGTTATTTAAAAAAAGACTTTATTATCGGTTGTAAAAGTTAAATAGCTTTGATGATAATTCCGACTTACACGCACTACTTTTGGGTACATACATATCCTGTATCATTTCATTCTATGTCAGTTACATATAAAATGATGTACTACTGTATAAATTAATAAAAGCGGATCTTAAATTTGTGTGTTTACAAAATTGAACTGGTTGGGTAATTATTATCTGGCTTTTCGAACTTAATTATCCATGTATAATCTATTTATAAACTTCAAAGAAGGGAAGTGATATCAATACAAGATGTATTTTGACATCGGTTTACTTATACCAGACAAGTCCTTTCCTTCACTGTACATCAGCGTCTTCTTGGTTAATACATTAGAACATTTATTGTAATTAGATAGCTTTAGTAAATCGAAAGATCATACAACCTACTTATGGATATTTCCGCATTCTTCTAACAATATTGATTTGGTTGTGGTTATTTTATAAATATGTAAACGTGTTTTTTCTTGAAAATTATATCTACACTTATTAACAAATGAGTTTTTGTAAATTTGTCCTTATGAGGTGTGTCGTTTATGTTTGGGTTATTTATAGAAAACAAGGAAATTTGGTACTAGAAAACTAATAACGTTTCAGTTTTGCCTTTAAACAAAATATTGTGCTGTTTGATTTATGATAAAAAAAAGAAGAAATTACATAAATTATGTGCCTGTTGTGGTATTTTACGGTGCTTTTTTATTGCTTAAATTAGTTGTACTCATTTTTTATTTACTCAGACATATCTTCTTTTGTTGTCGTAACGTATTTCATTTAATTTATTCCAAAAACTTATTTATTCTTTCAAAGCATTTTTCTTTATGTTTAGTTACTCCTTTGCTAATTTATCTTGTTAATTTCACCTTCCTGTACTAATATGGTAGAATAACTTGTATTGATATACATTTGTACCATATCCTATAATGATTATAATTGACTGGTGTAACCTTTTTCCTGGTACTCAATGTACTTACTTTAAGTAAACATATTATCATCTTATAAGTTTATTTGTGATCAGTAAGTTGATCAACCGTTAGCTAAAAAACGCGTTATTAACAATAACATTTATTTAAAGCATATTTTAGTGGTCATTCTTTCCTATTTTGCTCATGTTATGAATATGATTATCAGTAATAGATTGTGTTTTGTGTTTTCATGGCTTTGTAACTATACTACTGATAAATATAATTAAGTTTAAGGTGTGATCGCTTTTTCTTTAATAATTCAGTGTAAAGTTTAAGTTAATAACAACTCAGAAATATTTCTCAGGTGATATTCGTTTGTTATTTTCCTTTAATACAATTTATAATCGATTGAGAGGATCGATAATATCTGATCTTAGAACGTATACATAAAGCATATTATTGATTAATGTTAATAATTGACCAAGTATAATTTATATACTCAACTTTAAGCCATACTATTTTTATGAGAGCTTGTTCATACGACCTGGCTAGAATAAGTTAACCTATTCTGTTTCTGGCGATTTCGAATTAATTTTCATAGAAACCTAATGGATTTCACTGATTTAGTATTTGCTTTTAATTCATGCTATGATTGTTGTCATTATCATCACAATATAACATTCTCAACTGGAAATATTTTGTTGTGTTCGAAGAAAAAAGCATAAATGAAAAAAATGTTATGTTTGTTTAGTTAAAATAATTCATTATCATTGAAATCATGAGCCAGATTAGCTCCATTGGTCACGGCTTCTCACTAGAATACCAGAAACTTCCTCTCGTAGCTAGTCACCAGTGGCCACATGACAGTTGTCAGTATGAGGTTTTGGAGATTGTTGAACTTCATTAGAATCCGTGTCAGATATGAGGTAGTTACTCGCCAAACACAATGGAAGATGATCACTCAATGTTGTTGCGTGATTAAGGTTAGACATTAACACTGTTGAATGCTGGCTTAGTGGTTTAGAGGTTAAGATTCGTGCGCGAGACGATAGGTTTCAGGCTCGATTCCTAGTTGCGGAGTCGTGAATGTGCACTACTGGGAAGTCTAGGAACAGAACGAAACGGCCATCTAGTGCTTTCAGGTTTCCAATCATGATCTAGCTTAGATAGGCTCATGACTTCAATGGAATTCGACAAACTCCACAACCCATACTGAAAATAATTCATTATAACTTTTATACCGTAAAACGATTTTAACAAAACTATCAAGTGCGTAATATTCTTTTGCATAGTTTAAGTCACACCAGTTCTCAGGGAAAGAATAAATATAAAATATAGTTAGCTGACCAATAACTTTGATATTTTAGTCAACAGCAGGAAGTGTATCAAGCATCATATTAAATAGTTTGATAGAAATCACTTGTAATAATTTCAAATCCTTGTCTAGAAGCTTCTCAACGTAGTGTATAAACTAGATTGTAATTTTATAACACCAGGATTATGTTGAGTTACAGCTACGAGACAATATAAGTTATACAAATTATCTGAAGACTATCAAACTATAGATTTTTATTTAGTGTAAATATGGTTACACCGTCCTCATCTATGTAGTAGCCTAGTCTTATTTTTCCTAAGGTAATAAATATTACACAATGTGATGTAGCTCATCGAGTGCAGATCTATGTACTCGACTTTTCGTCACAATTTGTGTATGAGGTTTAGTGCTATTATCCGGCCATCCAAAATGAAGTAATAAAGGGGGTCTTGAACGTGCGACTTAGTTTTTGAAATTCGTGCCTCTTAATTACTAAGTCACCGATCTAAAAAGAGCATTGTACAAACCAATAGGCAATTTTTTTTCTAGTAATCAGTTATTACACATTTCATGAAACATAAAATTTTCATTCATTTCATTTCACCACAGTTATAAAATTGTATTTCATATCTTTGTAGAGTTTGTGAATTTATATATGTGTGTATGTACTGCATATCACCAAATTTTAAAGAGTTTGTCTAGAAAGTCAAACTAAATTTCATACATAACGTATTTGTTCTACATAAAACATGCTTAGAAATTGGTGTTACATTTACAAAAAGAAAGAATAACTTTTGATATTTATGTAATTAAGAATTAAGCTATCATATCTCTATCGTTATGTACGGTGGTATTTGTACCTTGTGTTAGTAATAATTGTAAACAAGTGTTTGCTTTTCTTACTGTATACTAACTCCTCATTTAACAAGTTCATATCATGATTTCAATTGGCACTGTTCGTTTGTTGTTCTTTTAACCACTTATTTTTTTTCTCAAGAATTCATTTGCATGTTTTCAATATATCTTTTTGTATAATTTATTACGTTCAAATGTATTTGTTTACATAGTGAAATACTTATTTTTCTTTGTTTTAGATATAAATGTTGTCTTATTATAATACAATAGGTCATAAGTGTAGTCGAAATATTCTACCATATTATATATATATATAGTTAACGTTACAGTTTGCTTTTTTTTCTTGTAAGGGTTTTTCTCATTATCTTTTTTCTCTACGTTCTTTGTAACCTTATACCAGTTCAACTTGTTTTACTAATGTAACCATTTCTTTTTTCATTTGTTGATGATGTCATTCTTCATTACTGTTACTAGTTAGTTGCTGAATAATGATTCATCATAAAATCAAAGTGGAAATTTATCGTTGTTTACCGACTAGTATATATGTTATGCATCTTGCTTTGGTTACTTTTTGGGATTTTTTATAATACAAATCAAAGATAAGCCATGTATGTTTTATGTATTCTTTTTTTGAAGATAAAAGACTCCCTTTTCATATGATTCTGTTTATTTTACCCTTTAAGTTCATTTCCTACATTAAATGTTACGTATTGAACTTGAAACAAGTATTTCTAAGAAAATCAGGTCATTGTTTAAATAAAATAGTTTAATTAGATAAGATAAAACACTATAATCTTTTACGATATAAGTTCAAACCTCGCACCATCTACTATGGCTTTGATTGATTGATAATATTACTATCCTTCAGATAAAAATTATGATTTAGTTTCTCTTAAGGCAACTTGTATTTACGTATCAATTTAACACGATATTTATAAATCTAACGAATATCAATTCTTTGCATTCTATGCAGATGTTTAGAACTTTCTGTATAGTCGGAATGTACAGTTTCTTGTCAAATGACCACCTAATTTAATTTAGATACATTAATATTATAGTGTTTTAGAAGTACTGTTATAAAAGTATACACATTAGAATATCCAGTTTGTTGTGGTGTTCGCTTTATTTTTTTAATGATTGTTTTTACGAAAACATAGAAACAAACTCGATACCTTATTATTTTGCTTGTGTTTTGTGAGATACGTTTTCATTTATTCTCTCGTAAATTTTGATAGCTCACTTACCATTTATTGAGTTGTATTACTTATTTTGTTTATGATATAATCACTTTATTTCTAAAATTTAGAAAATAAGTTTGTTGCTCGTTAAGTAAGACTCATTTAATCCTTTTTTGGCTGATGGATTAATTCGTAAATGTATACTGATATCGATGATAAGTTCGCATTCATGTTCCAGTTTTTATTTGCACATATGCTAATCTTACTGTGTTCCACCTCATATATGTTGTTCTCAATATTCGGTTATTTTGACCACGCGATTTATATTCCATTGTGTAGGGGGTTATTGTCGCACCGTTGTGTGTCACTCTCCCGAACTCTCGAGATCGCATTGGATCCCGTTCGAATCTTTATTCTTCGTAATTAAGAAGTACCGTCGGCTAGGCGGATCACAAAATATCACACCAAGTTGTCTAAAGTTTCTGTACGTAGCAGCAAACAGAAATTTCTAAGACGTTTTTTCCAATTATGATATAGTTTGTCAGTGACCTGTCCCACTAACAGCACGTCTAGAAAATAATCTAGAATGTAAACCCTATTCCGCAAATCATTGTTCTTGTAGTTTTTCAACAAACCTTGGTACACCAAAACCCTGTTATTTTCCGTCTATTTCTTTACTTTCAGTAAAACAACTGATTATTGTATATAAGTAGTTAGCTACTAGACGTCCATAATAAACGTCATTACTTTCTTGAAGAATAGTTTCCTTTCTTTGTCATGAAAAAAAAACAAATTTTCAATCTTAACCAAATGCTTAAATAATATCATAAATGCTATCGAAATCATGGACCGATTAATATTAGACCACCATTGGAGACCCAGAAGCACGATGTCTGTTTTACTATAGCATGGGACTACTCAGCAGAGCATCCACTACCTCACACCTGAGAGTCGAATCCAGGACTTTCGGTCTTGAGCAGATGCCTACCCTTAAGACCAACGAGCTGGCATCCGACAGTGTAAATATCTATCATCAGCCAATTTACGAAGTTGCACGACTATCTTCTATTGTTTTCAGCGAATAATTGCCTCACACTTCATACGGTTGAACTCAGTTAGTCACGGTTTCTCACTAAAAATTCAAGAGCTACCTTTCGTAACTAATCAGTATTTAACACATGATAATTTCTGGTATGTACTTGCAAAAACTATTGAATCTCTTTTCATGGGAGTCCTACACTAGAACGAAATAGCCGTCTATTTCTTACAGGTTTCTAATGGAGGTCTAAAGTTGATCGGTTCACGATTTTGATGAAATCCTACAATCTTCACAATCTCATACTGTAAATAGTGTAAGAAAATTTCGTGTTTATCAATTCCTGATTGACGTTATTTGCTAACTTTTGTTATTGTTAAAATTTCTCCCTTTACATATTACTTGACCATTAATAAGAATGAATGAGGATCAGCTGATGATTTAAAATAATCATTATGATTATTATCATTATTATTTTTTTAATCCATCAAAATAAATGAAATTCTTGTAGCTCATTACTTCCTATACCATATAAGCAACAATAACGATAAAATTATTTCTCTAAATATGATACTTTGGTTGTCTAAAGAATAATCTATTAACCTTTCTATGGTTTATATTTCAAGTTATTAGATGTGCTTTCTTTTTACTGATTTTTATGGTAGATTTATTGATAAGATTAGTAGGATTAAACATCATATTAAAAGTAATAAAAAAACATAATAAGGGACTTATTTTATTTTAACATGCTACTCATATTTGTGTTGTTTTGTTCATTCTCATATATTATTTTTTGTTTGTTAATATTATGAATGTCCAGTTGAAAAAAAGAGAGTTACTTTGAGTCGATCTAGGCTAGATCACAATTGAAAATTAGGTTTCCAGTGGTGATCTAATTTAGGTCGACTAATGTATCCAAATATTAAAATCACTAAAATCTCCACAAACTCCCCTTCTGATATCAAATTGTTGTTTCTATCTTGGTCTCTACATAGTGTGAAATAGTTTGATCTACGTTTTTTTTAATCACTAGTTTTATTGACGCTTTTATTTTCTCTTCATACAGCTGGAAAATCCTCTAATTACATGCACACCAAGTACGGGTAACTCCATTGCTACTAGTTCGTCTGATGCGACTATTACTACTACTAGCACTACACTTACTACTGTCATTCCAAATGAGCAAAACACTTCAACTTTAAATAGTGATGCCAACTGTGAATCAATGACATCCATTACTGAGGATATTGACGATCGTTCACCTAATTGTCATTCTGAAGTAAAATCCGATACAGAAGATGTTTATGAATTCATTGAAGCAAATGGTAAAAAGTATCGACGTCATTTTCAACGACGTGTTGTCATTGAACGGCATAAAGTTAGAGAAGTAAGTAAATCTCGTTATTCTTTTTCTCTTTGTTTGTTAGTTTCTTTTTCTGCATTTTACAAATTGTTTAAAATTAGTTCTGAAAGATTGAAAACAATGCGTGCTTTTTTCTCTCTCCTAATATCATTCAACAATATACAACGTCAGTATAATTAAAAATCATGAATTCACTGTTGTATCTTCTAATCATCAAAAGATATTTATTTATAATTCGTGTAGGCGTCCAATTTGAGACATTACAGTTTGCTATTGTAGCATAGATTTAATATATTGAATTTAGCTTGTCGACTAAATCTCAATATCATACCTCCTCTGCTTACAAGTTATCGAAAATTTCCATTTGACATACTAATGATAATAATAACAATAGAAAAAATGTCATGTTAAAACCATTTTATAAGTTAGATATAAATAAATTGTTTCTTTTCTAAGGTATTTTTATTAGTTAAAAGTCGTAATTCCTGCCTACTATTTTCCGATATTCTACACTATCGATTAACTGATACTTTAGTGGATGGAGTTGTATTGAATCTGTTAACTTTAAACTTCAGATTGATTTAGGTCTGCATTGTGTAGTACATATATACTTTACATCATTGGTTTAGTATCTGTTTTTATTTTTTGGTTCACTCATTTGATATCTACCATATTACTCTCGCAGTTTAATGTTTTTTTTTTAAATCTTGAGTGATTTTCAAAAATCAGCTCTTTTCCTCTCTTCAGGTACTTGTTTGCTGACTAACTATATCATTTTAATTGTAAAAGACTTTTAGGTTGTTTTGAAATTAGTGATTTGAATTATAACTAGTTTAACATAAAGATGCAGTAATCCTTACAGTTCCTTGTACGCATGACTAAACTATGACTACAGTACTTTCTTCGGTCAACTTACATCTGTTCAGATTCTATTTTGAAGTTAATGACAATCTGCCACCATGTGACCCGAAAATATCTTCATTTGTTAATAAATTTGGCAAAATTTGTGTTCTGGATTATTCCTTGCTTTCTGTTAATCTCAGGAGCATTATCAAATCTTGAATATTTACAAGTGTTAGCCATCTGTTTTGTGAAGTGTTATAATTCGTTGTTTTTCCGCTGTTCTAAAGTAATGTCAAATGTTTACTTCTTACAGCTTTGTGCACTATATATATATATATATATGTCACTTTCAGTCGATAATCATTTATGTAAGAATTTAACGTGACTATTTTTCAATGTTATATGGATCAATTTTTTGTCATTTTTTCCGTCAGATTATATTAGCACCATCACTTCCAGATGGTATGGGACCAGATCTTAATCGAGTTACACTCAGCCGATCTGATCAGATAGATGGTAAATCCGTCAACAACAATAGTAATAATGAAGTTATTCCACCAATTGATAAATTATCATTAAATAACTCTTGTAACTCTTCTTTAAATCATATCAATGCATCGAACTCTCCTGAATTTAAACCTCGATTCGGAAAATGGAATATTTCCTGTAATAATACTGCTAATGAACGCAACGATTGTATGGATCATGACGATTTAGAAGAATCCCAGTTCACCACAGCTGACGCTGGACCACCTAAACCATCTTTACCGAATGAGAAACCATGTAAGAGATTATTGTATAGTTTTAAATTTTGTTTGTAAGAACATCCTATTTTACTAATAAAAACTATAATCTACAAATGTCACAGTAATATATATATAACCAGAAGATTGTAACCAGTTAAAATCTAACTGTGTCTGCTACACTGCCTCACAATTTCCAAACTAATAGTAATTGGATACCAAGCCAACAAACCTATAATTGTATAAATAACTTAATAACTTCATTTCTTCATTCATCTATTCAATCATAGGATAGATTGTTATCCATTTGACTATCGCATCTCAACTTATACATATGATATTGTTTTTTCAAGAATAGTATGTCATCAACTAAGTGAAATATGCTGTACATATATGTAGTTTCGTCACATCAAAATATAATTAGGTTACAATAGTATAATTATGTATTGTTTACTAGGGAAAAGTATTTCATAATTAATGTACAGAAATGTGATTGCATAATAAATGCTGATTGACTGTATAAATAAATATCATAAACACACTTGAGTAGTTTATTTGTTTTACAATTTTATTGATAAATTAAAATGTAGAAATTTATTAGCTATCATAATATGACTATTAAACCGGTTAATTCTCTATCAGTATTCGTAGTTTCGCAGTTAATTTCATCATCCATATTTGTTTAGCTTTTTACTGTTAAAAAACTTACTGTATCCCTCTGATTGTATTGTTACAGCAACAAATAGAATCAGATCTGTCATACATCACAGATAATGTACGACATGCAGGAAAAAATAGTAATTACCAGCCTGTATTTGTCTGTTCTCATTTGATATGTTGGACACTTTTCATTTTTCTTCATTTGGATGATATCATAAAAAGACTTAAAAATTAGTCTGTATTGAAAACCAATTTAATATATTTCCCATGTTCACTGAAAGATCACGATCTGAATAGATTTGAATTGGATTTCCTTCAACTGTAGCTAAAATGTTTAGTTCGGTTGAATTTCAGTAGTATATTAAACATATCGTCATTGATGAAATCTTTAACGTTCTTTTATGTATGCTTGAATTACTCTGCAAAGCTTATTGACAAATGTTTGCCTCCATTATATATAATCTCATTTCAGTGATTAGTTATATGTTTCGATTCGGATCATCTGATTGTGACAATCCAGATGATGAACGACGTTTATCTGATCGATTAATTGATTTTTTCCGTGATCAATGGTTAAAAGAAGAGTCTGCAGCAGGACCACATGAACGTAAAAAAGTTATTTCTTATACACAAAGTTATACACAACCTACAACCAATGGTGATTTTATTCATAAATCCACGTGGATTCAACATACATGCACAGTTCGAATGGTGAGTTATGTAACTATTTTTCTCATAAATCTATAACTACGTTAACCACTAAACTCATTTTATTTGATATTAATTAGTTCAAATAAATGAATAGAATGTAAATGGAATTGTAATCCGTACACTATGTACTCATTGCTTTATGAATTAACAATTTAAATCTAAAGATTAAAATGTGATGCATTCCATGTAGGTAGTTTGGTAGTAAATAAAAATATGTTATGTATGCAAAGTTATTCAATATATTATATAATTTCACAGAGAAATTGTTTTAATAATATTGTTTTTATGAAGTTATCTGAATCCACTTATTTTTTTAATTTTTAGTAATCATTATGGTGAATAAGTTCAGCGGTTTGTTTACATTCTTTTTTCTCGGTTTATTTGTATTTTGAAAGAGTGACTAATCCTTACCTTCTAAAGTACATGATTTAATAGACCTCTTTATATAAGATATCCAATTTAATGTGATTTGTTAGCATATTCTCTAGTGCTGCTAAATGTATGCCGGTGGTTTTCACATTCCGGATTGCCCACACCTTTGAAAGATAGTTTTTGCAGGTACCTGAAAAGAAAACCGGGTTATGGGTGGTCCTGACCACCTGGCTGTATTACTGTAGAGCCTAAGGAGTTACTCGTTGAGGTTGGCCACACACGAACTCTGTACGAGTGGTTTGTGAATTGACAGCTCCGTATATTAAAGGCCTTATCTTTGGCGATGGAAGTCTACGGAGAAAGGTGAGGTGTACCATCTTTAAGATCGATCTTTTTGAACCCCAACTTTCTGTTGTGAAAATATAGCATCGTATCGCATGCTGGTTGTCTGAGGGAATCACTGTACTACCATCAAACTTTGTGCAGTCATCAGAATGACTTTGATCTCGGGCCCTAACCTATTACTTTTAGTGTTACTGTTCTTCGACCAACTTATTGAAAGAGTGTTCCAGCCAATATATCTTAATTAGTTGATCTCAATATCTAACCACAATCAGCATGCCAGAGCAACAGCTACTGTTAGATTTGTAAGCATAATTGACTTGTTAAACAAAATCAAATTGTTGTACCCAGTCTTTCATATCCCATATATTGTTTATTACCTGTACACTGAAAAATATGTAATTGTGTCTCTACACAAATTGTTAACGGATTTTAATACATGGTAGATCTAGATAATTGTAAATATACACTGGTACGTGCCGCTAAATAATGAGAATTTTTGTTATTCTTGTTAAAAATGATACTGAATTCCAAATAAAGTCAATGATTATAAAAAAGATACTAATATTGGTGATATATTTAGAAAATGATCACATACAAATGTATAGAACGCTTTTGCGGGAAATTCGAACTATGAACTTTCCGAAGAAACACTGATACCCACTTTTTAAATGTCATTGTCTTCATAGTTAAGTTGATCAGAAATCTTGGATCTGAGATAATTTAGACCAATAAGGTCATGTATAGCATGAAATGATAGTGGGAATAAACATTCAAAGTTATTTTATTGGTAGCATCTTCGTTACTGAAAATCGTTAAAGAGGAATCATTATTCCAAATGTAAATTGACCCGGGGACTCAGAGTTATAAGTGAGAATGAAAGATGTGACTATTGGTTTCCTAGTTAGACCTGTGGTCTTACTCTTACTTGCCAATTTCAGTCATTGATTTTAAAGATTATGATCTCAGAGCACTCACCATTTTCGAAATAGCAATTAGTCATTGGTGAAGTCAGATGAACATCAAGCTGTTAATATAGTGATAAGAAACGAAATAACTTTATTGTAAAAATTACGTCTGGTATCTCTTTTAATATACATTTAATATACCTTTCAAAAGAATAGAATATTTCGCTCGAGATAGCATTAATACAACTTTTTATCAATACTTTGTTCTGTAACTTGTAACCGAAAAATCTTCCGTTCATTTTAACTGATAACATAAATATCCAAACTATGAATTAGTTATTCGTTTCATAGATTTTGATTACAATATACTCGTTTTTCAATCCAGAAGCATTTGCTTTTAAAGTAGAAAAAATCACCCTTCACAATATCTTTTTCCGAATGTGCCGTTGAATAAAAGCTGTTTTTTTTCATGCTTCATTTCATCTAGTCATTTTATCCCGTTTCCGTGGACTTTTTACGAAAGAACTGTTATGCTGGAATGATTGATGATTACAGATAGTTATTCACCGAACCAATCTTCGTATTCTGAGGGAATATTAAGAAAATAAAAGCCTTGTCTGTCTAACTGAATAATGTATACTAATGAAATAAACCTGTCAATTATACACAGAAAACTTAGCTTAGAAAGTATAAATTCGAATCACTTAGTTTCTAAGAAGACAATAGACTGAATACGAAAACTTGAATCATTTAGAATCTGCTAAATCTAAACTTTTGATTGAAATATTTAAATTCGTAGAAAAGTATTACTAATATTTATAAGTAATGTAATTAAGTGGTCAGTCATATAGAAGCAACTATTTTTATGGTGAATAATCAAAATAATCCTGTTGTGATACTTTGATTACTTTGTTTCAATTTCGTTGTTTATATAAGCACATTTTACAAATAACGTTTTGGTAATTATTTTTGTTTTTATATTCTATTCCAGGTTGGAGGTCTTCAAGGATTAAAAGCTCAGGTGGGTTCAATGTATTTTGTTTATTAAAAATTTGTATTATGCCATTATAATTTCACCTTTAGGTGACCATCAGTATGTATGAGACTAAACAAGCCGCACAGTTGGATGGAATAGAAAAAGATTGATAAAGTATTTCCTGTTAATCAAAATAAACAGTAAACATCTGTAGTATAAATGTCTCATTACTTCGTTAAAAAAAATGTGGTTAACTCCAAGGTATTTAAATCATGTTTAATATTATTACCAGATATTTAAAAGACATATGAGGTGTTATTCATTAAACAATCTTTTACATAATACATTTAGTAAACAAACTATCATGTTATTATCTTTAATTTTAAGTAAGTCACGAAGTTGTGTCGTCGTTATTATTTTTCGTGCTTCTTTTTACTACTTACAACTTTTCAGTAGCGACAATTTAAAAGTGAATTTTTAAAGTTGATTATATAAACTGTTAGTCGAATGATACAGGATAGTATCCTTTTCGCAGTACATCAACCCAGCGAAACTCTGCATTGGGAAGCAGATTTTAGCTTACATTTGCTATAAATCACATATTAGATTCTCAGAGAAAGAAATATTAATCAAAAACTTTATACATATTTTGGCTTGTAGTTACCAGTGGTTGAGTCTTGTATTTCCATCCTACTATTTCTACTCAATACTCTAATACTGGAGGTAGAACAATGCCGTTCATTTTCTCAAACTATTAAAAATTTCTTCGATATGACTAAAAGAACTCAATTCAGGGGTACATTGTTGTTATTTAGTTTTCTCTAACATCGCCTTTCTTACTGTTCTCAACAAAATATAAACTGACCGTTTCAATTATTAGTTTTCTCACAATCTGATTCATTTATTTAGTATATAGTTAATAAAGTTTATTGTATATATTTTTAATTGACCTTACAATTGTTTCCACATTATTGCGTTTGTCTCCTCTTTTCAATCAATGACACAACTATTTTTATTGCGCCTAATTTATTTGGCTGTAATAAAAAGTATCATCGAGTGTTTCATGTATCGTATCAAATTAAAATGTAAACTGTTTTCTATCCATTTTTATTTCATGTACAAGTTCATCATTATTGATAGACATCTTACAATTCATTCCATCTAATTACTATTTGCTTAAATCCAGTTTTGAACAATAGCTATGTATAAAACACGCTTGTAACTGGAAAAGTAAAAGTAGTATACTGAACGATAATTCGGTAGAGAAAACCAATTTATTGTTGAATGCAAGATTACAGTGTGTTTTCGTAAAATGTAAAAACCATACATTAAATACATTATTTTCACATCTTCCTTCAGTTGATCTTTACTTGCTTCATGATTCTTTCAATTCTGTTGTTATTACAATTGCTTTTTGTTTTCCTTTCTATTCTCTTCAATTCAATTTTCTGTTGCCAGGCATTCCACTTCCAATTACTGCTACATTCTACTTTTATCTGCCAACATAAGTAGCATGCACTACAGTACAAACATACACTTAAATGTAAATCTTAATCGTCTTTTTTTCCTGTATAATAAATATTTGGTTTGTCTAATAATTTTTAATTTCACGCTCATTATGATTTTTTTGCAATTTACGCTCACAATACTTTATAATGTTTATAACAATGAAATTTATTTATTGAATAACGTATGAATGTATTTTTACGAAAACCCACTATTGACTACTTAATAAAATAATTTCATTAACTGGTATCTTAAAATACATGTAGAAAGTTCACTTAAAAGAGAATTCTGAACTTCGTGTATAAATGGTTCTTCTTTTCTTCTCAATGTTATTATAAACATGTTACGAAATAAATTGTCATTTGTGTACCGTAGGTTGGAATGTATATTAAAATTTCCTGTAACTCTGAAGTAACCAACAATATCAGTATAAGTTTGTGAAGATTGTTGAGTTTTAATTGAGCTAATGTGCCGATCAATCATGGATTGCTTGAATTTAGACATTAACACCATTGTATACCGGTTCAGTGGTCTAGACTGTATGTGTTCGAGCGCGAGACCAAAGGTCCTGGGTTCGGGTCCCGTGTGTGGGATCGTGGCTGCCCGCTGCTAAGGAGCTCCACACCAAAACGAAACGGCCCTTCAATGCATCCAAGTTTCCAATGGCAGCCTAACATTGATCGGTTCATGATTTTAATAGCCAATAATAGTTACTTTCTTCAGTTGACTATATTTTAGTGAGTTGTTTTGTAAACGTTCATTAAATCTAAAGTAAATTTTCATCGCAAATTGATACTAACTGCTGAATCATTGAAAATTCAGGGAGTAAAATATGATTCTAAGTTTTGTTCCAGTTGTTTAACTCAATCTATTGATATAAGCATAACACTAAAAAAAATATTCAGTTCATATGTGTAAATGACGGTACAGAGGGTTTGTAGTTCAGATAGATGTTTCATTGTAGTGTTTCGTTCTCCATATTTAATTCCGAATCTTACACTGTCTTTTCACATAATTTCACAAGCCCCCTCTCTTTGCAAAAACAAACCTTTTAACCTTTATCAATCTATTCCATTGACATTGTGGTTGTAACATACAACTACATCATACAAGTGAATCAAACGTCTTACCATAAAATACATATTTTATTTTCGAAATTTGAACTTAAAAAGTTGTCATTAGATTCCATATTTCTAAAAAATTGTAATTTAATGAAATAGGAGAATATATCTTTGCCAGTTGAAATGTCGTTTGAAACTGTTTTCTAACGAAAAGACTGCTTCTCAAATATGTTCCATTTCAGAACTCTACTTTTTTCTCGAATAAGATTTCCCGTGATTAATTTTTTCTACTAATAATAATTCCGGTACGTCTTACACTGCCCTGACATATTGTTATATAAGTGTGATGTTGCCACCTGAACCGATGCATATATGTCCCATGTCCTACATTGCGTATAATTCACTGACTAAAGGCTGTGTAGGGAATTATAGCGTTTGCCTGATTACTCTTGAAAAGTTACGGTCAATTGAAATCACATACCGAGGGGTTTCTGACATGTATTTATGGTCCTAATTTTTAGTCGAAACATCAAAAGACTCTTCTGAAGCTTATTCCTTTCACGAAAGCATATTGTGCGTTTAATCTAATAGTAGACTTTTGATCGTTTAGGCAAAATAAAAAGATTACGGACATTCAAATTTACTAGACTCATTCGTTTTCACTGATCCATAGGTAAGGGGCATAGCCTAATGGCTAAATAAGTAGATGAATATTGTAAACTATAATAGGATCAGAATATTTGTAATGAACGAGAACTCAGGTGGAAGATAACCGATTCATTATTTCATACAAAATTACAGAATGTCTTGGTAAAATATGAGAACTATACATCAAATGCTTCATTTGCAAATCTCCCATCAATTGTCCTTTACATTCTATCTGATTCTTTCTGTTCATAATTATTTTCTATTTCCCTTTCTGTTTTCTTTAGTTTGATCTTCTTAGCCTTGTGCTGCCAGCTATCCTATCTTTGATTGATGTTACATACTACATATGTAGACAGACATAAGTAGCATACACCACATATTACTTCAACAAAAAATGATTGTGTTGTATTAATTAGAATATATGAAAAAGGATATTTGAAGTCATCTGGTATCAGGATGTTATATTCATCGGATCACCACTATCCTTTAAGTATTTTTCTATGAAACCATGGGATAATTCTTGTAGAAGTGGTGATCCTATGTAACGTAAATCAATCCATAGTCATCAGTGTTTTCACTATAAAAGTAAACCTTAAGTATCTCAGTTCAGTTTGTGGCATCCTTTTCTATGATGTTCAATACTTCTTTTTGACGGAGATATTTTGGACTATATTGTTTGTCTGGAGTTAAAATAAGTTCCAGAATATAAATTTCTCAGTCATATTTTGCAATTATTCTCACGAGACTCGTTTAAGTGCTTTCGCTATTAAAATTTACACTGCTGTACTGATATAGTATGACAACTTGAACCTATAAACATATGTGACAGGTTCTACGTTGCTTATTACTGACCGATTCAAATCGTGATTAAAAAAATCATGTTATTCTTTAATTTCATACTTAATTTAGTTTTGATATTTCCTCTTTCATTTAAAACTCCTAATGTTGACATCTCATTCGTTGAGTGTGGCTAATAAAATTCAGTGGGTTTTTTTTCATAGAAGTGTTTGATTTTCCCTGACTTGTTTAATGATGGAATTGATATGTTTGTCATATCGTATGTCTTCGTAGAATACATAATATTTACCAGTTAACATACATTTAAAAGTAACGGACTGGATGAAATTTTCATTGAAAAAATTTAGCTTTAGCATACATAGATGATTATATGTGTGAAGCAAAGCTTTCATGTGTAGATGTGTATAAGGGTGACTTGTTAGATTTTCTAAATTCCACTTGTAACATAGTATCAATAAAGTACTCGATATCAATGATAAATATGGTTATGATAAATCTTATGGATATTCTTGTGTAGACTTCTAAAAATAGGGTTATTTATTTCATTCAGTGTATATGCATGAACATATGCTTACTTGGTGATATAATCTCCTACTAATTAACAAAAAGATAATTAAAATCTCGATCTGTATGCATGTACATTAATTTGTCTTTTAAAAATCACCTCTATGTCACCATTCCCATCTGCAGTTGCATTACAACATGTTAATTCTGTAATCTTTTTCTGCTTACATATGTTATCTTCTCTCATTGATATTTGGTGTTAATCCACACTGAAAATTTATTCAAACTGAATACATGGTTATGTAACAGTAGATCAATAATTGCATGACAAATATTACATATGTATATATGTACTGGTGTTTCTCTATCTATCTTTATTGCTTGTCAGTACTAAAATCATGAGTGAATGCGAACTTACACAACTGTATCTTTTCAGTTTGTTATATTTAACAAGCGACTGATTATAATGATTGAAATATTGTTTATTCAGTTATTTACTATGATTCATCTGATTTACTGACTGACAAGCGTAAGTTTAATAATCACTATATATATACGTGTGATATGCATAAAATATGGATTACTGAACAACATATCAATATGTAACTGGAGCACTACAGTATTATTTCGATTGATAACATTTTATGTTGTTAATGATTGTCGTACCAATAATCTGTTTTTCGGTAAGTAAGGAAAAATATTTGATTAAACTTTATATATGTACATTTATTAGTCATCATAGAAGTCATTTAATTGTAACTCCTTAAATTTGCACTGCTCAAGAATAAAGATAATTTCAAACATCATTCATTTTGATTAGAAAGTCTTATTAAATTACTTTAGAGTTTTTGGAAAACTCTGAATGAACACCTTTATTAGTGTAAAATTAAGCTAGTTCGTAGTCAGTTGGAACATTTATAGTTTCAAGTTAAATGAATGACGTACACAGAAAGTATTTAATTAATCAAATCTTTAATTGTTTACCAAGTATGCAGTCAGTATTTCATTTTCAATACTTTTGTTGGTACATGAGAAATATCTATTCAAATGTAGCTTAATTAATATCTTAAATTCACTATTTCGAGTTACATATATAGGGTTCAAAGCCGTATTACCTATCCGCTGTTTATTTATCATATGTTCACAATAGTGAGTCTGTTTGAATTCTGCTTTATATAATGTAAATAATTCACTAAATTGTTGTACATGATGATGATACAACTGGTTAACTAAGTACACGTTCATGTACCTAACCCAATGTTAGACTTTCATGTAAGCGCTAATGATACTACATTACTAATAAAGAACCAAAATAGGCAGAATGTTTTTTTCCTAAATGTATCTCAATGGCTAGAAGTTTAGTTACTTAGTTACTCGTGTTTTACGTGAACTGACTTATTGTGTATGCAATTTGAAAGTGGAATATGGCTACAATTTGCACATTAAGCACTGGGTCGATTGTCAGTAATGTTTTTTAAAAAAATTCATATGATTGTTTTTGTAAACCATTTAATGTTTGTATATACCTTAAAATAGCGAACTATTCGTATCATAAATATTGAAGTTGTTGGTACATTGTGTTTTGGTGGGTTGATTTTCAATTATCATTCACATTACATACTTGTTAACTTGTTAAGTGAAAAACATACTTCTTGATATGCAAACTGAAATTAAAGCAATTTTTCTCAGTAGTACAGTCAAACTCAAGTGTTAATGTAAAGAAATAAATATTTTCTGATTTTTCGTTTTGTAACTGGGATGGTTTAATTAACAGGACTTCATTCTCATTCTGGATAAAACAAATGTATGTAGGCACAAATGATGTTACTTAAAACAACATTAAACGTTTCTCAATTAAACTCTGCAGTTCAGAAAACACAACACCACGAAATACATAATTCCGAGCTGAAAAATCCAGAATTAATTTTTGAAATACTCTTATATCTCTACGATCTTCATCTTCCTTTAACATTCTATCCACTTTAAAAATGTTCGGGAAATAAACTTTTTCTGGGACAAATCAGCCCATCTTTATGATTGATTCATTGCATTTACACAAAGAACGATGATAGAATAAAACTCTCATAAAGGCGTTTCAAATCTAAGACAGCAAATTATCGTTCAATTCTATGTTCAGCTTTGAAAATAAACATTCTTAAATCTTGCATTAGATGTTAAGCAATTATATTTGGGTTTACGTGCATGAATTCTAATGGAATTCTGCCTTATTTCTGATAAAGAATATACAATAAGAAAAATTATTCATAGCATTTTTCCTAAGTATAAAACTGTTTTCTTTATAGGTATTTATTTATTCTTTGTTAACCATAGAATGAAATCAACTTTCTCTGTCTAATTTCAATAAACTGTTCTAAAATTTGGATAAATCAACTAGGTTGCGTGCGATAGTCATGGAATGTTGAAAATGCGATTTGATATTTTGAATTGTTATTAAATATAATAAAAAATATAATAGTTATCTCTTTGTTTAGTTTTATACGGTTCCTGCAGGCTTTTGTTGATTTCAGTAAAGCTCGAACACTATTCATAGTAGATTCATTTCTATCATCAATTCCCCTCAGCTTCTTACAACCAACAAACAATAATATGAATTAACAAAAAAAGAAAAAAACAAATGTATACATGTTATATTATCTCATTTACAGAAATTCCTAATCAAGGTAGATTAGTAGAAACGAATAAATATGTAAGAATCACAAGAGTCATTCAAATGGTCGACTGTATACACCATAACTGTATTAACATTCTGAAAGGGAAAATTGAAGGGGATGTCGATAGATTCCGAAAAACAGAAAATTAATATCATATATTACTTAATGTTATATATAAAAATGATTGATCAGTGGAAATATTCGTGAACGTGAAAGAAAAATTCGGCATTTTAATTAAGGGTTTAAAGTATTACATTATGTAACAACTTCTTAAGTACTCATTCCACCAGACCAAATAATGATAGCAGCTAGTTCCGTTTGCTTTTACAAATTTGGTACGAACTCTATGAATAGTTATTTTATACTAGTTATGGTGATGTTTTTTTTCAAATTGTTCTTATTTGAGTATAAAAGTTGCGTAATGTGTAATAACGTGATGATGTAATGTATGGTAATTATTTAATGGAATCCCATACGTTTATCAGATGATTAAATCATAAGTGAAAGGCATTTTCATCATTTTTCTTCTACCATCATTATCCTTAGTTTATTTTAAAGTGTTTTTTTGCAGATAGTTAAAAATTACTGTAAGGAATCAATCTGTCTGATAGTTGGAAAGATTGTGCAACTAAAATAAACATTACTCAACAACTTAAATTAGATCTTATTTATTTATTTATTCTACCACAGAGATATTGGTACAAGGAGGCACCAAATACATATGCGCCACACAAATCTCATTTGATATGTGTGAGGGCCGTGATACTGCCCGGGTGCCCGAACCGAAGTAGGTGGTTTTCTTGGGAGGCCACACCCGGAGAGTTTGACCTGAAGGTCTGATCCACAAGGCAGTGGAGCAACGTAAAGAGATGCAGTCCCATTGTAGCCGGTGACCAACGATTGCTTCATACGCCATTTGTTCCTTCAGAATACTGGAGCCCATGTGCACCATTGGTTTGGAATCAGGGTTTTCCAACTCCCCTAGGTGGATTCTCCATGTCCATCAACCCGGATAAAGCACCGGACATTCGCTTTGCGTCCTCTCAATTTCGTAAACAACACCCGTGATGCGAGAAGACAGTGAGTAGGACTTCCCTGGCAGAGGCTATATACGCGTGGCCATGTGAGAGCATTTTGAGAGTAAGAGTTGACTCCCACCACTCTCGGCCGTACCAGGGCATTTGGGGGAAAATTAAATCTATTGAAAAAGAGTTTGGAGTTGAAACCTTACAGTTAAATAAATAGTTTTTTCATCTTAATAAGCCACATAATATTCTGTTTCTTTGTTACCGTCCGATTAAAGTTCAATTTTCAGTATTTTTAAATAGCTTCATTTACTTCTAGTCAAGATGCGCGTCTATTTTTTTTGTTTCATTTTAATTAGGAAACAAACATTGTTTATTTTGACATTTCGTTGATTTCCTGCTATCCACTATTATGTCATTACTGTTATTTCAGCTTGAAAATTTTATATACCGGCTTATTTATTGTGATTGACACAAAGTTTGACATTTGACACTAAAAGTTCAAATTATATTAATTCATCAACTTACGTTGCTGATCATTATTATAGTTATAAACATGTGGTCAGTCCTTTTTATGTAACCTGGTCATAGTGATTCGTGTATACATGTATTCATTTAATATAAGCTTGTATTATCTTATGTGCACACAGTTTACCTTGTATATTGTTCATTATATTCACGTGTTAGTGATCTGAGTGAAGTATATACATATATGTTCACACGCACAGAGAAAATTCATGTGTCTCAAGTCGATTAAGTAATTTGTCAATAATCAAGCGAAACTGTTTGCTTGTAACTAAAACATTTCTCTTCTTTGTTTACTGAATATTATTTAGGCTAGTCGTAATGCTGAAATGAAATTACCTGAAATATTATCAGACGATGAATTTTCAGATAAAATATCTTGTAACTCACTTACTTCATCATCCAACGAAAGTAAGTTTTATTGATTGATAAAATTCTATATTTTCTTCAAACAGTAACATCATCTTTAACTGAAGAAACAGATGTATCACAACAATTAAAAGAGAATTCATCAAAGTTTAACCGTCACCAACCACAAATCATGTAAGTCACAGTATTTTTTTCTCATCATTTATACCTTTTGTTTTAATTGATAGGGAGTGAAGTAGTTGAGCGTGTCGACAGCTTTACTTATCTTGTGTGTCCCACCAACCTTTGTGATTTCGTGTGTGACGAAACCTCAGCACGGATACAGAAGGTTCGACTAGCTTTTGCCAACTTGCATCATTTATGGCGTAGGCGAGATATCCGTTTACCAACCAAAGGATGGGTTTATTGCTCAGCAGTTCGTTCCATCCTACTTTATGGCTGTGTAAAATGGCCGGTAAGAGTAGAGGATGTACGTTGGTTACTAGAATTCGACCACCGACTGCCCCAACGAGCGAGGTTTTATAGTGTAGGAGTAGGTTGGAAGATAGCTAGAGGTGGCCTGATCAAAACATGGCACAAATCCATAAAGGCAATGGCAAGTGGACTGAGCCATGTTAGTAGGTGTAGACTACCTGGTTGGGATCCGTGAGACGATAGCAACCGATGGTTAGAGACCTTGAATGATATGGCTCAAAATCGTTTGCAACGGTGCAGATGTATCTACTCTTTGTGTTCTCCCATATTCTAATCTTCCGAATTCTTCATGTCCCTTTTTACTCTTCTTAAATTTATTTAATTGGATTATACTCCTTGAATAACATCTTCAAACCCTAACCTTTCTGATTATTGTTTATACTTTAACTACATCTACCACTATGGGATTTGAATCGACAATTGTATCTGTGTACTAATGTTGTATGACAACTTGAACTGATGTACGTACTTACATACGACGTTCTACGTTGTTGTTGACTGACTGACTAACTTGGTTTTAATAAATTAACTAATTTGTACTTAGAATACTAAATATTTCAATGAACTATATATCAAAATTTCAAGATCCAACCGTTGATCAAACTTAGTTCATCATTAAGTATTTATTTAAATATCCTAACAATCTTATCAACAATTGGTTTGTATAAATAACTCTGTAGATTTTTTCCTCATATAATACTATAACTATGATCTAAATATTTCTAATTTTATAGTCCCACCATACTCTTGTGATGGTTCGAAAATATATTTAGTAAAATAATCCTTATTGCTATAATCAGTAAAGTATCATTCTAGATTTAATAAATACAAGCTAACATGGACTGAGTTTAATGAAAAGCTGAAATGTTCACAAAATAATTTGAATGAGTATGTATGTAATTATTTTTGTAATTATTCTTAAACTTATTGAGCTTATCTGACCGGAAGTTTTTTCACTATATTAGACTAACTAGAAATAATGATCCATTAATTTAATTATAAAATGAGTATTCTAGACTGTTATACAATCGAGTAATTGAGAATTAACTATCTATCAGAATTGTAGTTAATTTTTCTATATTGGTACACAATTTATTGTTCAAAACTGGTTTTAATTGTTTTAAAATTTTTCTTTTCGACTGTTAATATTTACTTTCGACGTCTTATAGCATTACCAGTGACGAAACAGATGATGAAGAAATACGTGATAACCATATCTCTACAGTAACTCAAGAAAGAGAAATTTACACAACTCTACCTATCGTGGAAGCTACTAATATACTACCTATCCTAAGTCTTTTAAAAGCAAACGATTATTTAGTATGGGGTGATCGAAATTCTGTAAGTATCAAATAGTTCATTATTATTATTATTATTATTATTATTATTATTATTATTATTATTATCATAACTATATTTATTATTATTATTCACTATATACATAAAGGAACTGAATGAGAAGTTTTCTTTCTCTTGAATAAATAATAATGTAAATGATATCTCTTAGATATTAATAATTATTCAAATGATGTTCGAATAACTATTGAGAATATTCGTACCTTTGTTTCATCAATAATGAATAAGTTATTATCACAAGAGGTTTTGTGGAGATTTTGAGAAATCATGAGTCAATTGAAGCTAGACCACCATGGAAAACCTGGAAGCACTGGACAGCCTTTTTTATCCTAGTATGGGACTCCTCAGTGGAATTCAACCAAGTCTGTTGTGAGATATCAACTCACTAAAGACAATGGTGTACGGTGGCGCAACTTCGTGGATTGGTTAGACATTAACACCTTTGGATGCCGACTCAGTGGTCTAGTTGGTTAAACGCCTAGCGCAAGACTGATAGGTCCTGGAGTCGAAACTCGCGGGCTGATTCAACTGAACATTGGATCACATCTTCTACCCTTTAGAATTAAGCCATAAGTGTATGTATTCTAACAAAATATTTCTGAAAACAATTAAATAATTACTCCCATTGAAACTAACCAGTTGTTGTTATCATGCTTCAAAGTATTCATCATAATGGTTACTGACTACATTTTCATGATTAAATCCATTCTTCCAAATTCCAATTATCCCTCGTTGTTTTAAAGAATATAAATTATTTATATTTCTCTTTTCTTGACGTTAAAAGTGCATTGTGTTTTTTTAAAAAAAACTTTTTTTTACTTATTTCATTCGCTTAAAATTGTTGATGCGATTTACGATTACACTATTTTCTTTCATTTTCATTCTCTCTAATAAGTTAGTCCATTAATGTTGACCATAATATCTTTAGGACATTAACTAGCTGATAATCTAAACTTAGATAACCAGGAAAAAGATTGAATCGATTGTTCACTAACTGAAAAGTTATCCTACATTATATTGATTTAGTTTTGTAGTTTACTTAAAAGAAATATATAGTTTTATGAAGATTTCTTTTTTCTTTTTAACTATAGTGAAGCGATTAGTTTATTATTCAATGTAATTTATTTAATAAATCACTCATACATGTAAGAAATAGCTGACATAACTTATTTCTATCTTTTGAAATTAGCTCATTACATTTTTATCATTCACTAAACGTTAATTACATAATATCATAGTGACTGAATAAAAAAAACCTTAGTAAAAATTTTGCATTTGAATTAATCCTGATTAGTCATGTTGATAATTATTTCGTAAAATTTCATTACAAAAAACATTCTCCTGTAGTGTTGGTTATTATGTTAAGCCCATATAACTTATTCTGTCTTTCGGACGGGCAAATCTACTCATTCTGTAGTGAACAGAACATGGGCGGGGACAATCGAATTATATTTAGCACAAAATTACAAAGTTAATTGGTAAAATAGAAAAAACCATACTATAATACTTAATTTGCAAAATGTCCAATAATTGTCTCGAACTTCGTTGTTCTTGCATTTCCATACTAATTGGTTTCTATTCCCGTTCTTCCTTTCTTGATCTTCCCCATCTTCTGCTGCCAGATGTTACATTCCTGGCTCGCGTTATATACTACTTATATCAATATAAGTAGCACGCATCACAATTCTACTTCAGTCATATTTTGACTTTGTTAATTATTCGCTTATCAACCTTGACTGTTTTTGTATGAGTGTATGTGTGTGTACATTTCTTATCCTATTCATCACATGTCTGTAACTTATTTTTGTGTAACTATAAATATTGATTAACGCCCTACTAAAGGGAATTCGCTTACCCGCCATCTTCACTGCGTGTCGTTTCGCTTCGTATACAAAATATATGTATTCAAAAGTCCATTCTCGCTATTTGAACTATTTAATTCCGTTATTGGCTAACTCGATTTAAGTCGATGATTATGTACGAGGATAGGCGAGATATACATTTCGACAACAATCATTGATAAGATCTAATTGAAGTCAGATCTCGGGCCACTAAAGTGGAGAGCCCGTCGACAAACATCGTCCGATCTAAATGACGACAAAATAAAGGGTCCCACTAAACTTCTAATGGTTGAGACGATAAACTTTTAACCATTTAATAACAAGCTCCCTATCCTTCTACATCTATTTCTGTTTCGAAGGCTAGCTGAATGTTTTTACTAGTCTCCAAATATAAAGTATAACTCAAACCCAATCACATAAAGACTTTTTAATGTCGGTATCTTATTTCTCCGACAGTTATTCATTTAAACATTCTTATATTTGCTGCTTTTCCTGTATCTTCATTTCACTTAATAAATTTCATTTTTAAACTGTACAAAGATTTGTTCTTTATATATTTTATTTTCCTAGCTAAATGATATTTCTGTACATGCTGGATGTATTGATGCTTTAATAGTATATATAACATCATATGGCCGTATGTCACCATCATGTAAGTTAATTTGTGTGCTTATTTGTTTTTCATTGTTTCCAAACTTATTTTTATTTGAGCCCTAGAGTAGTGATTTCATTTTCAATTTATGAGATAGATCATTAAAATTGAGTCAGTAATCTAAAGTTATTATGCTCGTTGCGAGACTTCAAAACCGCAAGTTTGATCCCTGAATGAATCGTACGTTTACAATTTAAAGTAATCTCAAAATAGATCGAGGAGTCATTTAATGCTCTCTTATTTCCAAAGAGTTAATGATAATTTCGGGTTGTTTCAGATTATGGTCCAACCTAACTTTGGAAACAATATATCTTTCTCTATCTCTGATCTATATATAAAAAAGTAGTTATATGGAATTTACTTTTGATTAGTATCAGTTGAAAATCCATTGACGATTGTCTTCGGAAGACTAACTATAGTGTAATCGTAATGTATATCCTGTCAGTTTAGTTTAATTTTATAACGAATGTCATTTATTCATTACCGTAACAAATGTCAATAAATAAAGCGCATGACATAATATTTCGATGATATGAATTCAGCATTGTACCAAGTCTCCGATAGCTGTAAAAAATATCCCAATAAACTATTAACTGTAGTGTTCGTATTTTTCTTGTTGTTAGTGTCAACTGTTTAGTACGGTAGATACTTTGCTCGTCTATTATCATTGTGAACATCAATACTGAGATCCAGGTACAGTTGACTTATAATTTTAGCACATGAAAAAACACAGGTTTTACATTTTCTTACTAATCACTATCAGGGATATTATTTTCAAAATCAATGTTTCTGTATTTTGTTTTCAACAAAAAATCAGGTTTTTACATTGTCGTTCCTTTATTGTTTGTTTGTCCGTTCTTTTCTTTTTTCTTTTATGACAGATTATTTATTTTTCGAAACATTTCTTTTTATGTATCGTTCATTTATGACATCTGATGAATTAGTGAATCGTTTGATAACGCGTTATCATTACTTTAGCCATCCTCCACGTTATTTATCGCATTTGACAAATTTATCTCATGAGACCAGATCTAAAGTGTGTACGTCTACTGTGTCAATTTTAGTGACTGTGGTAAGATTTCGTTTTTGATTAGTAGTTTGATATTACACTGATTTATAGCTCTATAGTCTTATTGTAAGTGTTTTTTGTAGTGATTATTTACGGGATGCTCGAAGTTTTCCCGAAATCTAAGTATTTGTAACCTGATCACACTTTCTATGAATAAACTAAGTTTATAGTATTTTAATTTCTAAATTTCATCCCCCTCATTTTGTATCTTTTAAAGTCATGTTACATTAATTTGCCTCTGTCATGCATATATCTGGTCATCAAATTATCTCAATTATCTCTTCATAATAACTGATGACTTACGACTATATCAGACCGTGGTATTTTAGTATCTACGTCTAAATCATCATACTATTGCTACTGTACCAAAGAATACATATCATTTGTGTGTAATGCGATAGAAGTTAAGAGTTTTAAAACGGGTTCTTCTTATAATTATTTAAGGTAATAGTCCTAGAATATTAAGTTAATTTTATTACAATCTAACACAAATGTAAGTTTAGAAACAAAAAGAGGATGCGTGAATCCTCCACACTAGGTTGTGATCATATTTAACACAAAAAAGATAGGTTAAAATATTACCAAAGCAGTTGAAGGTTAACTACTTATTTTTTTAGGTATAAAAGTTAAGTTGGAACCCAATTGTCATGGCTTCTACTAAATTTAATAACGTGGAATTGGACGTTTAATTGAAAACTTTGAATCAATTCATTACATCCAATTTGTGCCCCTTGTCTAGTAGATGACATGCTACTAAACTATGTAGGCAATTATCTCCTCGAAGGCGTAGATTTTTGGAATATGCCCATGAAAACGTGAATTGTTTTTTTGGCGAGTTAGTTTTCTGCGGGATGGAGTCGCTAACCCCACGCCCACCCTCCTTTATCCGGGCTTGAGATCGGCTGTATCCCAAAAAGGGCTTCACGCGGAGTAGATTATCTAAGCACTTGGAGTTGCATGCACATTTAAAGTAATATATGCAATTCAAGGTAACATACTGAAGTCAATGATATGGAAGCCATCTTTTCATTAATTTTCCAGTGTGAATTTAATGTTGATATTCACTGTATTGAAAGATTCGAGTATCTTGTTTGGATAACTTACGCCGCTAAGTAAAACTAAAATATCATCGGTATTCCGTACATAAAGTGTAATCTCGTTGATAACAGTATGTAATATTTTATTTCCAAATTTCCAAGAAATATATCGTCAGGGTTTTAACCAAAGAATTGCCCATTGCGACTTCATCTGCTTGATAGCATAATTTATTATTACATTGGAACTGAACGTTCTTAGTTTATATCCTTAATAACTGTGTGATCTGTGTGTATGATGTGCATATACTTTATGAGTAATTGCTAGTGATGTCAGTTGTTTCTTTCAAAGAGATAATGGTTAAAGTTAACGATATGCCATATAAAACTATTAGCTTGTTCGATGTATTAATATGACGTATTACTTCAGTAAAATCAAGTTTATAAGACCAGTTTTTTTACAAATCGATCCCAGTTTCGTGCAATTAATTCCCTTTATGAATTTAAATAAAGCAAGAAAAATATTATGAATTCATACTATTCTGCATCAATATTCGATCCCAGTTTGTTAGCTGACCGTTGGTCCAGTTCGTTGCAGAGAAAATTAATCTTCTTTATGATTGGTCTCATTTGTAGATTAGATTTGCGTAATTTGGCCTGCTGATACATGAGTGATAGGCATACTCCAAGTGATTCATCTCAAATAATTACAAGAAAAACCTCTTTCAAAACTTTAACTCTTAAAGTGTGTCATATTACACACAAATGATTGATTAATAATTCACTTTTAAATATTATTCCATTAAATGGAAATAAGAAAACATATAACTCTGTATGTAGTTGAAAGTAAAGCAGTTAAATACAATGAATTGATCGTATTCTGAAAATATTATCGTTCTTACTTTGTTTAGATTTATGAAGGCAATCAATTGTATAAACCTTTTTCTTTGTTTTTTCTGAATCACTTCTCTCTTGATTACAATTTCATAGTATAGTAAATAGAAATTATTGAATATTTTATCCATATTTCATTCCCTTTTAACTTTGGTCTTAGTTAAATTGTTTGCTTGGTTTTGTCTCATTTCAAAACTAGGTTACACGATTAAGACATGATTTAAATGATAAATTGCTAGAAACTCTTCAAAATTTCGAAGAAACTCTTTCACAAGACGAATATAAATCACTCAGTCGAATTTTACACATTACAATTTTTCGTCAGTCACAGGAAAACTTACAAATTCATTCTAACTCAAACACTGAGTTAATCAATAATAATATGCGTAAATCTGATTCATTTCTATCAAATAGTGGTCGAACCTCATCACTAGGCGATGTATCATCCGATCAATCCATGTTAAATAGAATTAATGAAGCAGATCAATGCGCTGAATATAATGAAAATATTGGATTTATTACATTACCAAAGACTAAATCTAGACGATCACATGCTTTGGAAAATGTTGATCGTTATTCAGTGATTGAATCGACAGAAAATGATTATGTCAATCCTTCTTCTGCGATAAATTCACTTCCAACTAAAAGAATCTTGTTGAGTACATCCAAAAGTAGTCTTGGCCTATTGAATTTTCCTGCAAAATCTTTAGCTGAACAACTTACCTATTTAGAAAGTTTAAATTATTATAAAATTAATGTAAGAACCATTTTTTTCGTTTATTTCGTGTTTTTATTTGTTTTAATTTGATTTTGATAAAATGAAGATTATTTGATTCATTATCGTATTACAAATAATGGTCTGTGTATTGTTATTTTTTAGTTCTTTGGATGTCAGAAAACTTACAATACTTACTACTATTAGTAGTAATAGTAGTAGTATTTTTTAAGATTAATATTAGTGTTAATTCAGAGATTTTTTAATATAAAAGTTAACAACAGTCAGTGCTAGCTTCAACTTTTTGCATGATGATAAATGCTAATTGTATACCGGACAACGTGGTCTGAAGTATGCGGAGATTCATTATCATAAGAACTCTTAGTTATAAATTTATGATTTACTCTTTCTAACCATACAGTTTTTACTAAATGTGGGCACTCCATTGTTCTGTGGTTTTAAGTGTTACACATGCACAACGCTTGTGTACTACGATTGAGATTTACAAATATGATTACGCGGGTTTGTGTTTAGAACAAAGTATGACATTAATCCACTATTAGGATTAACTAGATGACGATCTACAACATCAGATTCGATTTCTTTCTAATAGTCGGTCAGTTTTTAATAGTATGAACACAATATTATTACTTGGCGAAAATTTAAGCTCGACTCTCTGTTTCCTTTAATTTTCAGGTTTTTGAACTGCTTGACATTTCAAAACTAGAGCAAGGTAAAGCACCTGGTGTAGCCGCTTGTGCACATCATTTTACAATGCTTTCTAACTGGGCCACTTATCAAATTTTATCCTTGACAAGTGCATCTGATCGTGATAAGGTTGCAAATCGTTTATTGGATGTTATGGAAGTAAGTCGTTATTTAGCCTTATAATAGCTTTCAGTTTTGATTTTTGCCTAAAAATCAGTTTTTAAAAATCTCAGACAACACTAAACACTTGTCAATAAAATAGTTTTTTTGTAGCGTGTAATATTTATCACTCTCCAGAATCTTTTATTGATTGTTCCCAGTACCTTACTACAAATAGTGTCTTTAAAAAATTAATGATCGATCTACTAATTGTAATTATAGTGCCGTTTACATTTGACACCATAAATTATTCATCATATATATATTGTAAATTAACATTACCTTGGTTTTTAATTTTTCTGTCTTCTAGCACTTGTACAGACTCCAAAATTTTAGTTCCTACCTGTCTTTACTTTGTGCATTTCTCCTAGTACCAGAAGCTTTGTTTTCTCGAAAAACACTCAGTGTAAGTCAGCTTGTTGATAAATTTCTTCTTTAGATGTTACATGTTCAATATTATTTTTGTAGCTTATAAGAATTTGTATGAAGATTTATCCGAACACTTTTAATAAAGTTAGGTGTCGATTCAATCAGCGACATTTGATGCATAGAGAGTTCGTTATTACCTCGAAGAACCTCGATTTAGACTCGTTGATAAAACATTGGAACCGTTTATTTTCAACGATAAAATTTTCTCAAATATAATATTATATCTGTTCATCATTAGGATTCTATCTCTTATTGTGTTCCATATATTCACTCAACCGATATTTTCAGTAATCGCTAAACTTTAAATTCAAGTGATATATAATTCTTGAAATATATTTCCATTGTTTACTGTCTATTCCGTGATTTAGCTGAAAAGAAATTGATCATGATGAGGTATAAATTATGTTTGACAATTTTATTAAAGGAAAGCATCATAACAGTGTTACTGAATTTTACATTGAACTAATTTCCTTGTCTATTATGAAAGATACCATTTCAATTAATGCAATTCTTTATGTCATAGTCAGTCAGTCAGCTACAACGTAGGACCAGGCACATATATGCATCGATCCAAGTTGCCATACCTCATTAACGCAACACCGAATTCATAGAAGTAGTTACTTCGATGGTAGTAATATATTAAAGAAAGATTGTATATAAGGATATAGTACAGAAAGAAAGAATTAGTTGGTAGAAAGAAAGATATAAAGCAATTTTAATCTCACAGTTTAAGGGAAAACAGTGTTTATACACCTACGCCATTGTGATCAATTCTGAGCCATGTCACCCAGTCTCCAACCATTGGTTACAATGGTCGTACGAACCTCAACCAAGTAGGCTGCATCTACCAACATGGCTCAGATCAGAAATTTGTGACTTTATGAACCAATGCCAAGTTTTGGTTTGGCCACCCTTAACTATCTCCCAACCGTCTCCAACACTAGTCAGCATTGCACACCGTGGTTATTTTATTTTATTTAAACACATAAACATAGGTACAAGAAGGCACCTAATAGATGTGCGTCACATAAATCATTCAATTTGTGTGAGGGCTAGGATACTGCCCGGGTGCCCAAACCGGAGCAGGTGGTTTTCTTAGGGGGGGCCACACCCCGAACCTTCGACATAGAGGTCTAACCCACAAGGCAGTGGAGCAACGTAAGGAGATGCAGTCCTGTGGTATCCAGTGACCAACAATTGGTTCATACAACTTTCGTTCCCTCGGAATCCTGGGGCCCATGTGCACCGGTGGTTTGGAACCAAGGTTTTCCAACCCCCCTAGATGTGCCTTCCTTGTCCACCAACCGGGTTAAAGCGCCAGACATTCGCCTTCCATCCTCTCCATTCTGAAAACAACACCCCAGCCACGAGAAGGCAGTGAGTAGGACTTCCCTCGCAGAGGCTATATACACGTGGCCATGTGAGAGCATTTCGAGAGGGAGAGTTGACTCTCCCCACTCTTGGCCCGTACCAGGGCATTTGGAGGCCACCCCGTTGTAATCGGTGGCTTTATATTATAATTCCTTCTCTATCAAAAAAATTACATAAATTTCTTCACATTACTTCTCTCAATAGCTAATACTTTTTTATGATTACCCACCTTTGTACAAAATGCACATACTCTGTATATATACATATTTAATTATCACGTTTCTGTCCTTTTTTGTGTATGTATTTTTGTGTCGTAGCGTCTTAGTCGGGTTACGCCGTACATGCAACCGCCTTACTTTTCAAAATATCGTCGTGACTTAGAAGCAGCCAGTCCACCATTAATACCATATTTAGGTTTAATGCTGCAGAATTTAATTGTCCTAGATCAGGGTAATCCATTGTTTTTAAAGACTCTTCCAAGTCAATTAGTTGATAAATATCAATCATGTCATGGCCCTATTATAAACTTTTGGCGATGTTGGAAACATTTTCTGATCATACACGTTTTTGTCAAACAAGAGAAAATGGATCCTGAAAAATCGTAAGCGATCACTGTTTGTTCTATTTTAGACATAATAATATAATTATTAAATAAGATTCACACGCATACAAATGTAATAGTATTGTACAATCACCATTAGATTGACCGTGACTTCATTGCTAGAAAATAGCTGGATATTAATTTTGATATTGTAACTTATTGTAAATTACATACTGTTATACTGATTATATATAATCAACTCGGTAGAATGACAGATTTCAGTGAGAAACAAAATCTTTGGGGTCATTAACTAATATACCCTCTGAAATTTATACTTTGGCTGGAACTCCTTATTAGGTTAAACGAATAATTATCTGGATAATTACCCTGACTAGCAAGCTATTATAAACCAGTTATCATTGAAAATCTGCTTCCTTCTAGTAGTAGATTACCCTGTACAGCCCACTCACCACTTATGGCTATCATGTCTTTCAGCTCGTCAGTTACTTTTAGACTACTATGTTTGCACTCGATAATGCTTCGTTTTCTTGCTTTTATCTAAATATCTTTAAATCTGCTACTTTGACCGAACCTTTCACCCTGATAATAAGCACGTAGCTAGCGTTTGAAGTCGAATAAGTACTAATAAAATCGTTTAGTGGCCCGAGATCTGGCTCCATTTGGATCGTATAACGATTGTGGTTGAAATATACTTATCGCAAATCCTCGCATATAATTATTGACTTAAATCGCGTTAGTGAATAACGGAATTGATATAAGTCAAATACGAGAATGTATTTTTGAATACGTATATTTTGTATAATCGTTGATCGGAAGGCGAAGCAAGACAAAACGACACGCAGTGGAGAAGGCGAGTGAGCAAACTCAATTTAACCAAGCGGAAATCTATATTGATAGTTACACAAAATTAATTTACAGATATGTGATGAGTAAAATAAGAAATGCACGTAAATACGCTCTTATAAAAACAATCAAGGTTAATAAGCCAATAAGTGACAAGGTCAAAATGCAGCTTAAGAAGAATGGATAAGTTGGTTTGTCCAGAAGCTAGAATAACTTATGCGGGCTTGACATAGGACCAACCACTACAATCTCTTTGGCCATTTATTTGAGCACATTTTCTCGTCGAATTTTTTCTCCACTTCTTCATAATTGTTTCAATAACTTCATGATTCTACCATGCTATTGTTATCGTTGCTTTCAATATGCTGAAGTTGTTTAAATGTTGTTTGTTTACTTGATCATCGATATCCTACTAGAATTAGTTTGAAGATGTGTGCTAATAGCTGATTATTAATACACGGTTAATCAACTTAGAAGTGCTTTAAAAAGAAGGGGTTTTTAAGAGGTAATAAACTAGAGAAAAATGCTTCTCTTGAAGATGTGCATGTAGTTGAAAAAAATTTAAAATTCAAATGAATCTCAGTAGATAATGTTAGTTAATAACAAAAATATCTGAGGAAAGATGGAAACAATTTGAGATCACAAAAACAAATTAATATTTAATTGACATACATTCATAAACTTGACAGAATTTTGAAGATAATTCTTTGGATGAGTTGTCACATACTGTTTGCAACAAATATAATCGTCACATGTATTCTCTGTTATATGATGTTATTCATAAGTGTTATTTGTCAATAATTTCCCATAAAGCCCTTAAAATATCTTCAAAAGGCTAAAAATCTCTTTATTTCATTCAATACCTTTGGTAAATTCTGAGTGTCGATGTACCTATCTTGTCCTTCGATCTGATAACGTGAACGTACAGACTATTTATTTTAGCATGTTTTCTCAATATTCTCAACCACTAAATAGCTTATTACCAAATTAATACCTAATAGATCCTCTACGTAGAACAACCTTGAAGTAAAGCTTTGACTGTATTACCACCTTCATTGTTTACTGTTGAGGATTGGTAAAGCAGTTGTTTTCTAAAAGTTTGTTAGAAATACAAGCTCACTTATATATATTATATATATAAATCGAATGGTGTATTTTTTTATTGTTTCTTATTCCTATTAAATATATAGTCGTTATTCGATCCGTCCCGATATGAAAATCTTACAATTTCTTGGCAATTTTAAAAATTCTTTACCTGAATCAGAATTACGTCTCTTAGCTAATCGTTTACGTCGAAGTATTTCATAATTTCATCATTTAATTATATTACAACATTTATGTAACCTATTGTTTGTTACTAATCAGCTCATGTGTATAAAATAACCTATAATATGTACAATAATACCATTGTTTTAATGTATCATTTTACTCTCTTTTTTTTAAAAAAAATCCATATTTTGAGGTAATTTTTAATTGTAAACTTCAAGATTTTTTGTTGTTTATCATAATATCATTCATACTTTAGATTATTGTTATCAGTCTTTGTTTTAAATATATAATGAATATCTATTGTATACTACTCAAATCTTATTATTGAATAACTAATATTTGTTTACATTTAAGAGATTGGCTGTGTTATTTGTATACCTTTCTTTAAAAACAAAAAGACAAAACAATGACAATCACATATATTTCTCTCAGATGAGTTCCTCTATTTATTATGTATTGTGTTGTATAGAAAAGAATATATATATATATATATATAATTACGTTTCGGTGCATTACATCATCATTACTATTATTTTTACTCACTATTATACTGCTCAAAATTTGTAAATATTTCTCCATTGTTGAAAAGTGTTATTTTTTGTCAATTCATATGTACTTTAAAACCTATTAACTTTGTTCTTTTTTATCATGAATATGTACAAACATTCACGTTGTTCCATAGTGGCAATATTATCTTTTCCTACTGTAGATTTTTACGGTTAAAAAAAAATCGTTCCTTCTGTTTATTACCTCGTCAACTAATGTATCATTAGTTTTTATCATAATATACTTATTTTATTATTATAATGATGATTATTGTTCATATATTTTGTTCATATTTCTTCTATTATTTATACCATAGATTTCTTTCTCAAAAAAAGATTGTTGTAGTTAAAAATTTGTTATTTTTATTGTTTGTTTTCTTAATAAAATGACTTCAATTATTTTATTGATGCTAGTAGATAAGTAGTGATTTTGGTCAGTTAAGGATGCTTTAATGTTAATACAACTTCTGATACTATCAATACTACTACTACTACTACTACTACTACCACTACTACTATTACTAATAGTGGTGATAAGAGATCTAACAACAGTTGTTATTCATGTCATAATGCAATTATTCCTTATATCTTTATAAGAAAATAAACATTTACATTGATTTTATTTTATATGATAATATAATCCAAACAAATACTTACACACACTTTTGTTTCTTCTTCGAGATAAAACGGTTCCTTTTTTTATCCTTTTTTTCAAAACAACAAAAAAAGACAAAAAGATAATGACATAAACTTTCATGTCACTCAGTTTCACAAAACAAAAAAAAATTTTTTCTCATTTATTCTTAGCAATTTAAAGAAGTCATTCAATATATGTGTATATAAAAACATATTTATCTTAAAAGAAAAAGAAAACTACTATGATAATAGTTTTTATAATTGATAAAAGTAATTTGACATATTCCCATAATCAATATTTCTGGTAATTTATTCAACCTACATTCTAATTACTGAATTACTACATAAAATTCAATTAGTCGAATAGAATTGTTGGATTGTGAATTTACTCATCAAATCGGTGAACTATTAATTTCAACAGTTGAGATCATGAGTCAGTTGAAGCTAGATCACCATGAAAAAAACCTGGAAGCACCGGACGACCGTTTCATCTTATTGCGGGACTCCTCAGCAGTGCGCAACCACGACCCACCCCCCGCGAGATTCGAATCGAGGACCAATCAGTCTCGCGCGCGAGCGCTTAACCAACTAGACCACTGAGCCGGTCGACATCCAACGGTGTTAATGTCTAACTTCAACTAACTCACGAAATTGAGTGATACATCCACCATTGTCTTCAATGAGTTACTACCTCACAACTGACCCGTTTGAACTCAATAGACGAAACGGTCGTCCAGTGCTTCCAGGTTTTCCATGGTGGTCTAGTTTCAATTGACTCATGATCTCAACTGTTGAAATTACTACAATCTCCCCAAAAAACCCTTCTGAATCTATTTATTTCACTTTGGTTCGTCATTAAGCATAAAGTAAATTATATTTGTTGTCACCTGAATTTTAGCGTAGTGACCGAATTTAGATTTATTTGATTATTTTTAAAAAATGATAAACGTTTCGGGTTTCCTATGTGTTAATACTTAGATGAAATTCAATAATTAAACATTTCATAGTTAGGGTTATGGAATTTATCAGCACTAAATATGAAATAAATGTATCAATAGTATTTTGATAAATTTTATCATATGTTCACACAGTTTTATAGTCTATATCCAATCAATTAAGAGTTGATCCTTTCAAATTGATCTTATTCATAGATAAGTAACAAACTTAAGGAGGAATACTGAAGTTACAGATCCTACCAGAAAAAATAAATAAATAACTTAAATATTTTGTCCGCTTCCATGTATGAAAATATACTTCACAGGCGTAGAATTTTAAATCAAGTCATTACTAAAGTATAACAACTAGAGAGTGCTATATTAATGTGAAAAATCACGAGTAACCTTTGTGGTATAAAGGAGTAGGTAATATGATTTAAAGAATAATAAGTCAAACATTAAAAAGACACGATTAGTCGAATGAAAGCTTTATTCACTAGACTTCTAAAAATGGAATTTATTTGACCAAATTCTTTAGTTATGAGACTTAGCAAAGTCTGTTTTATTCGTAAATGGATTACAGTTTGTTTTGTTGTTGATATATCTACTGTTTGAATCTCTCTCAAGGAGATTCTGATCTATTTTTAATGGCAGTACTTAATATAATCAGGAAAATTCATTGTGGCAGATGTATCCTTTCACGTAGCTGCTTGTGTCAAGAAATTATTTATGCGGGTCTAACAACTATTAGACTGTATATACTTTGATATCACTGATTATTATGCGGTAAATCTGTTTGCGAATTTACCTGTCATTTACTGCATGGACGAGTAAATTAACATACAGATTGTCATTGGGACGTTGTAGATGCAATCCAAAGTAAACAAATCAGGGATTTTAGATAAGCACTCTGTTCTTTGTCCTACTGCTAGGTTGTTTTTGAAGAACTCATGCAGATAATGATTGATCTTCAATACTTTTAAAGTTAGGTCTCTACCGATATCTTGAAGTTTTGTGTTCAATCTCATTTAGTATGATTAGTGCGTTGTGCTAAAAAATTCCAAAGTAGACCAAAGAATCTCATTAATGTTGCGCGGTTTTTTAGTTGTTTTTAATGCTTTATCTTATATAACCGGTATAAATAAAGAACATATGTTTAGCTGTTAATAAAACTCAAAAATCAATGAAGAAATTCAGGCGAGACCATAATTTATGGACGAATTAATCAGGTATAAGATAACAGGTCTCAGATTTTGGCGCGAAATTCACTCATCCATTTGGTTAAATAGAATTTTGCCATTATAGCTGATGTCAGTTCGCGATGAAAACCCTAAGTCTAATTCCTAACATTAACTATCAACTGCAAATCATAATTCTAATTCCTCACACTGCTTTATAACCCTCATTTGATCTTAGTTATTAGGTGGACACTCTCAAGGTCACTTTAGCGTCGCTCATATGTCGTCCATAAATTACAGTCTCACCGAAATTCATCCTTCTGAAGAAACGTTATTAAGTTTATATGAATTGAAAGTTTGTACATATATATAACTACCTTCTGTTCAGTCAAGAGATAAGGAAACCTAATTTTCTTTTAGCTTATTTAATAAAAATCATTCATAAACATGATTTCCACATTTTATCCTGAACAGAATCAGTGTTTACATATGCTTTCTATCTTTATTTAATATAGTAGTTGAAAGGAAGTGTTACGAGTGAAGAAAAAAAGAGGAGAAAGATGAAGTGTTCATTTCAGACAAGAAAAAACTAGTTGATAGCAATGCTAATTTGAAAATGAGGAAAATAATATCAAAAACCATTTACGTTTTGGAATTATTTAAACAAATGAAATAAATAAACGTTAAACATTAAAAAGGAATAATGTATCTATAAAATCAAAGTGAATGAATTTGAAGTAAATCCAACGTTTCATCTAGCAATCTGGTTCAAGCTTTTTCAAGGAAATATAATTAAACATCAAAATGATCGAATCTAAATAGGTACATGGTTCTCCGGTTCACTCTATATTGAATAGATCATCCAATTAACGTTAACAATGTTTAAATTAGTATGTATGAGATATGTAGTATGAAACGAACAATGTGTTAAGATACCAGATTGTGTGTATACATAAGTGAGAAGAATGTTAGTTTTGTTTATTAAGAAATTTCTTTATACGAAAACTTGATTCAATCTACTAACATTCAATTTATTTATTTGCTAAATAAACTTAAATAGATAGTGAACCTATGCATTATAATTGACATTAAGATAGAAAAATATCTCATGTCAAAATTACTTTATACAATATGATCTGATTGGTTTTTTTATCTTATATTCATGCTTATCTTAGTAGTTAAGTGATTCATACGTCACCACAACGAATTTAATTATAATATTTCTTTTCCAATCTAATCTTGATCTGCTTGTCTAGTGAAAAGAGTATTTAGCTTACATGCAGAAATATTTTTTAGACAAAATTATGAGTCTGAATCGTATCTATTATTGATTTATTGATAAGGAAATATAAACGATTTATGTTATTTCAGCTGGTCGGCGGCCTATGCTCCATTGGGAGTAATAGGCGTAAGTAAGTATATTATTTCAGGACTCATTTAAGGCATGCTAAATGAATTCTTAAAATTGGAATGGAATTTTAAGTATTATTATTAAAATTTCGCCCGATAATTTAATGGAACTGAGTAATCGGTAGGTTATTGGTAACAATACCGTAATGTATGAGGACGCAAGTGGAGACAGCCAATGTAATTCAGTACAAATTACAGAATCTCTTGTTAAAATATGTGAACCATACATTGAATACTTCGTTTGCGAAATTCCATCATTTTCCTTTCATATTCTGTATAGTTCTCCCAAGTCATAATTCCTTTCTATTTTTGTTTCAACTCAATCTTCTTAGCCT